CTGCCCACGGCTACCGCCCACGGAACAACTCTGCATCTTCCCCCCACGTACTCCTGCAAGCCTAGCTTCCTTCAGACACCTAACTCGGTACTAGTGAGGTCGCAGCAGCTGATAAGTAGGTTGTCAGATATGAGAGGAATTGGTTATGAAATTTTTAATATCAAATAGTAAGTACTGGTCAGGTTCTGATGCACAGCTCTAACACCTCTTGTAGTCTCGATATAAATCTGTACTCCAAAAAATAAAGGCAGAAGGCTATTGTCAGCATGGATAAACAGGAAGAAGCATGTTCTCATCGGGTAAAAGGTCCTATTCTGCATGTGATTACATTTTTGGTATGTTTACAGTTTTATACAGCCCAACCATGAAAAACTGTCCATAGATTCATGAGTTAATCCAAGGGTTTGTTTTCCCTCTCTTCACACCTTGCTCAAGAATTGTAATCCAGATAGAAAGATAAAAAAGCTTGTCCCTGTCTTCGCACCATGTCCTAGAAGCATGAAAATGGTAAGATAAAGCAGCTCAAGAATCTACCATCAATGCACAGAACGTAATTCATATGGGAATAACATTAACTCAGCACTACAAGCAGAAATAAAACCCATCTATGTACAGTTATATGACCAATGACTGCAATTCAAAATCCTGGATGCTGCTGCAAAACAACTTGTTGGATGTGAAGGCCAACAGGTAGGAGTCAAAGCATCTGACATCTGATGGGGGCTGAAGAACTCAAGTTTACAAGACAGGGACCTTACCAAGGCCTGCTGGGACAGGACAAATGGTTAAGTTTTAAACTGAAAAAGGGTAGGTTTAGGCTAGACATCAGGAAGCAATTTTTTACAATGAGGGTGGTGAGGCACTGTCAGAGGTTTCCCAGAGCAGCTGTGGCTGCCCCCTCCCTGGGAGTGTCCAAGGCCCGGCTGGACGGGGCTTTGAGCAACCTGGGCTGGGGGAAGGGGTCCCTGCCCATGGGTACCTCAGTCTACTCCACTAAATAGGGATTTGCATCAGCTCAGAGCCCATCCCCTTTCTGCACCCAACGCCCAACGTTCAGAGCCAATAAACCCACAGCAGTTATCCAGAATGGCTCTATTCAACACCAGGGGTGTCCCAATACCAGCCTAGTGTTCCAGAACAGCACTGATTGCAGAAATGTTAGCGATGGAAACCCTGTTTGTTAGTGGGTCTGCTTTCACAGTTGAAGGGTGCATAGCTTTGAGACACTGATCAGTTCAGACCTTGGAGAAAAATTCATTTTTTTCTGAATCCCAGAGGAAAGTAAGGGTTCACAAGCAGCCTCAAGCTCAGAGACCTCTAAAAAGCAAAACAGAAGAGAGGTGGCGATACCAACATCTGACAATGCTGTTCTATGAACTGGAAAGTGAAATTAGAGCTAGGAGGAACCTTAGAACGTGCACTGCTAAAATGAAGCTCTCATGAATGATGCCTGAAATTAAGTAGTAGATGCTGCCCCTACTCTTTACAAGGAGGTACCCCCGGTAGGATCTTTCTTCCTGTTTTTTTCAGTTGACTTACCCAGTGTTCCCTTTCTTCTTTCCACTTTCACCTCACATGAAATCATAATGAATTGGAAAATCACGTAAGTAAAGGGAAACAGACATCACAGGGCTCTGCCTCACAGTCCCGGGCAGCAAGAACAGGTTGAGGCTTGTCTCATTTTTACGCTTTTTATAATAGGAAGCACAAGGGCCACCAAGCACAAGCAGCATGACAGAAGTGAAATGAATGTAATTCAATGAGAACAAGTTATTTCCCACAGCACAGAACAGTTTGTACATCACAGTGCAAGAACTCTGTTCTGTCTCGTTTACAGATGGCCAAGTAGGCTCTCAAGTAGTGACCTCTGATTGTAAGAATACTAATGGTATTAACGGTTGAATGGCAAGAGCACCAGCTGTCCCACCGTGTAGAACACCAAGACTTACGGGCAAGACCAAGGCAGCTGGCAACAGCTAAAGTGAACAGTAAGCTGGACAGAACATCTTGTGAGACTACAGTGCCCTTCCGAAAGCTCAGTGGCAGAACAGGGGGCCCACAGCACCCCGGGCCTGCACCGCTGTTCCAGGGCTGCTGTCGTTTACCCCCGGCTCTCGTCGGACCGAAGCAGTCCTGCGTTTCGCACCTTCATGCTCTCAGCTCCCTGTGTACTTCCATCGCACTTCTTCAGTCTGCCAACCTCCCCATACCCCTCTTAAAAGGTTCGTACACCTGCTGCCAGCTAGACCAGGTAAGCCTGCTCTCTCATTTTAGGTAACAGTCCTGTGACGTTGAAAATTCCTGGATCTTTAAGTTTTATACATAAAACACAAAACACACACTACAAGTTTCCAAATCTTTCACCTGAAACAGGGCCTGTAGAATACGAAAGGGAATCCACATCTGCTTTTAAGAGTTGTCAATTCCCAGTAAATGTTGCTATGTAAAATGCAATTAACCAATGGGCCTCGAAGAACAAATAGGCTCATCCTTGAACCTAGTGAAAAGAGGATGTGTCTTGCAGGAAAATATTATTTATCCCCAAACTTAAAATATAGGAAAAGACAAGTCTCAGTTATCTCAGACAGGTTAAGACTACTTTAAGCCTTTCTATCTAAATTTCTTACCTAAACAGCTCTTTAAAACCTTTCTGCTAACCCCCCTTATTGCTTCCCTCCGCACCTGCTTTCCAACATGCCTTTACCTTGCAGTTGTGAAGAGCATATCTATAACAAAGCTGGGTTCAAATTGAACTTTTGTGAAAAGAAAACACCTGATCAGTTTACGGGATGGCATGCTATGATGAGCACAAAAATGACCAATACTGAAATAGATTATCTTCCTGTAGATCTTCACTGAATGTATTAAAACGAACAAACAATAATTTCCATTTATTTTTCTTCCTAATAAATGCAGCTGAATGTTTTGTTGAGAGTGTTGTGTCTTTGCAATAGCCAGAAACTGGAAAATACTGCAGTAGGAGTAGTTTGGTGCAATACTATTAAAGACCTAGACTTTGTTTCCAAAAAGACTTAAACTAAAGGCAAAACAATCAGATCACTATTGAGAAAGTAGCCACTTTGAGCATAGAACAACTAGCAGCATAATTTTATGTTAAAAATTACTGTGCTTTCCTCATAGTCTTCCTCATAAGCAGCTAGTAATTTTCTTGACTGACTGGAGTTATCCTTTATGCCCAGTTATTCACCACTACTGCCCATAATCTGAAATTTATTTCTTTTAGAAACAAGTCCTCAAGGAGATATCACTAATTTAAAAGACTAATACGTACATTAAGACCTCTGATTAAATTTCATTATTCCTGGCAATGAATTAATGAAGTTTAGCAAACTACAGGAAGAAACCACCTTGTTTGTTTCTTAAAGAGAACGCCCCCTTTGTAACTACCAGAATACCAGAGGACAGAAGGGATTCAGTGGTAGCTGCTGGCCTGTGGAAGTTCTAAATCCTTCCTGGCAGTTGTACGTTACCCAGGAGTGCATTTTGTCTCTGGCTTGATGAAAAAAAAGTGCTTGTGCTGCTCTAAACTATAGAGCTTCTTCACACTTCTTCATTCCAGCTCCTAAATGAACAATTCCCATTATGATTAGCCCCTTTCACATACCATCAAGCCAAGCAAAATTGAGTCAAAAGGCCACATATAAACCCAGAGTATTTTTATTAAAACAATACGGATTAAGGCCAATGGAAGATAGAACACTGGTTTTGGTTCCCCCTCCCCTTGTATCCAAGTATGTGAGAAGCCATTAAGGCAGAGTATCTAAAGCTTAAGGTCTCCTTCAAAAGAGACACTAGGCCTTTTGTTATAAAGTCACGGCACAGCAAGGCAAGTAAGGTGACAAAGGAACACTCCTAAGGGTAAGACAAACCTAATCTAGGAAGCGTGTAAGACAGCACTGAAAGTGCTGTAACCCTTGCCCATGGTAAGCCTTTCCATGTTTAACAGCAGAACAAGAAAAAGGGTATCACACATATAACTGCTGCAGGTGTTGAGGTGTTGCTGCAGAAAAATATCAGTGAAGTGTAAAGACAGATTTCGAAAAGATATTTGGGCAATATGTGTAAGCCAGCATTAACCATACTTGAGTGGTCTTTGAAAAATTAAATACTGAAACATATGCAGACCGTAGAAGTGCATTCTCAGCTATACCACATAAGAATTTTGAAGAAACTGGGATACCACTCTACTACAATGAAGAATGAGTTTGAGTCAGCTTTTCTGATACTGGTTGTGTAGTCTGGAGGAAAACCTGGCCATTAAAGCGGGTATTTGAAGTTTTACTTGTTTTAATTCATGCTTATATTTAAGAGTTGTCCAAAAGGACTTGAGGTGCAGAATCACCCTCCATTCCCCTAGATGAAAACCAGTATTTCCCGCTTCTCCCTTTAAGAGCTGCTTCATGGGTAACTTCAGATGAAGTAAAGGTTTTGAAAATTACTGGAAGTTATACATCACAAACCACTTTGCCCCATTCTCAAACACGAAGACCACTGGTTCCCTGCCTTCTGTGGCATCTGAGTAAGTCACCTCTGCAAAAGTCATGACAGCCATCTCTTGGTACAGATGGAGAACATGGGTGGAAAGCCCCATCGCTGGTTTGGTGGCCCGACAGTATCTCTCTCTGCAACATACATGCAGTGACTTTGGAAAGTGAGTCTCATTTCATTAAAGGTGGGAAGGACAACATGATTAATGTACTTTCCATTACTGAAGTGGTATTATTGACAGGAATAGTTGTTATGGGACAGATGTCTGCATACCTGAGGCAAGAGGAGGAAAAAATCCCACTGAGGTGGAGTTATATTCTACATCCACAACAGGTAGCTCAACCACATTCACCTACCTTCTGATCAAAATAACAAAAGACAACAGATTTTTTTTTTTTTTTAAAAAGGTCAGCTTGTATTGAAAATATCTCTGTAAAAACACCTGTAATACTACAAGGTAGTACCTTAATACAAAACAGATCAATATTAACTTCCTTTAAACTGTTAAACTTTATTATAAATTAAAATTTCTTTACAAAAAATTGCACATAATTGACCACTCTTAGGTTCTGATGCACTGGCATTTGCAATAGTTTCTTTAATCTTCAAGTTTAATAGTCTCTGCCGTGAGTCCAATGCAGAAAAGGGCAGTAAGCAACCCTCTTAGAGCCTTCAAGTGCAAGAAGCATACTTGTGGCCACGGCAGTTACACTTTCCTTAAGAGCGGCTGCTTTTGTTTTAAATCCTGCAATGAAAAAGTCTCAAAAAAGGTTTAAAAAAGGAAAAACCCAAAATGGACTACTTGCTTTTTACTGTAAACACAGCCCAGTAAATTAATCCCAAACACAGATCTCTCAGGCATCAGCGAGAGTGTCAAGTGAATCAGGAACAGCAAAACAAAGAAAACAGAAAATAAAAAGAAAACATAAAAAAATAATGTCTGTCATTTTGATTAACTATACTTACGTAGATGACGTTATGAGAATCTGGCAGGGCCCAGAAGCAAGGCCAGACAGGGAGTTCATTTTTCCAGAGGAGGGTCATGTTAATTGTTTCCAGGTTCAAGGAAAGCAGACTGGAGACTCGATATGCTCAGCAATACTCATCTGCCTTACACAGATCTTAGGCATGGATCAGCCTGAAGAATCATTCAACTGATTTTGGCATTTAATAGGACTTATGGCTGACCGTACCCAGCGTTCAGTGATTCTTGCTTTCTGTTCTGTAAGTGTTTAAATTTAAAAGCTCATCTAGGCTGACTCCAACCTCTTGGCACTTGGAAACTAGTTTTCTCAGGTTATCAGTTTTACCTCCTCCTGATGCTTCAAACAAGAGTTGCTGTAAGAGATGGGGAAGCAGATATAAGATTTAGCCAGAGCTTGAGCATCACCACATCTATGGATATGGGATATGCAGAAAATTTATATGAAACCTCAAACTGAATCATAAGGAGAAAACATTACATCTTTCCACAGTGTTGCACATAGAGGTAACTTCTGAAGGGCTCTTTGATATAAATGATGGACCTGTAAAATAAAAACAAGTATTAAAAGTCAGTACAATTTCGTGCACTCAAAGTGAGTGATCTGAAGCACAAAAATCGCTTGCAGTAATTTTTAATATCCGTTTTTTAAAAAGTTTCAAAGTCAAGCATTAAATAGCTACTAAAAGCAAAGGCAAGTTTATGTCTGACCTTAATTCTGACCCTTGTATGCACATGATTAATTACATGAGGACATTCTATTTTTCTTCACAAGACTCTTGCCTCATTCATTGCACAGGATGGAACACGCTCAGGGAATGAAGCAGCTTACTGAATATTTCTCTTTCACCACTCAATATGTAGTCTCAAGGTCTTGCTTATTGCATAACATCCCAATCCTGCAATGAAAATAACTGTTTCATAGTTTTTTTTTTTTTTTTCCTTCAGTATCTATCTATCTGTGCTTTAACAAGCAGTACGCATCTTTGCAACTCTCTAAAAAGAAAAAATGGTTTTACCATTTTACAGTTGGAAATAGAGGACCAGAATGTTTAATGAAAGTATTTACTCAAGTCTCCTTCAATTACTGGTATCTAGAGTACCAACTTTAATCAGAGAGTCATTAGGGGAGGTATCTGTTAGCATTTTAAATACTCATACCCATTTTTATATTCTTTCAGCAAACCTTTACATGACCTCTGAAGGGAACAAATGACAGGTTCTCCAGGAGCAGGAAATCCAGAATCTGAATCACAATTCAGTTTAAAAGCGGTATCTTACTTGCTTACTAGAAAATACAATTATCTGGAACAGTCACTGCTTCGCATAAACAGTTGTAAATACTCACAACATTCCAAACTAAGCCCCCCCCCCCCCCCCCCCCCCCCAAAAGCACTGCACTATGTGTGCCTACTGAAGTGATTTTACTCCACACCATAGTTAGTCAGGTGGTTGCAGAAGAAAGCCACAAGATTTCTTCTGGGTGTAATCCAGCTATGATGTTTTACATATGCCTTCATTCTAATTGGTTCATTTTCTTCAAGGACCCTCTTTTGGATAAATTGAAATATATTTTTCTAACTTTCTAACCAAACAAAGCAGGGATCTTTTAAGTCACCAGCCTCACTACAGGCAGTGCCTAAAAATGCAGTCCATCTAATACAATGACTGAAGCAGGGATCTGTGACTAATTACAGATTACACCAAACCATCAACACAGAGACAGAATTAAGGTTGAATAGGCAACCATGCCTTTGATATCTCCTGACTTTGAACTATTTGATCTTACAAACCAAGTAACTGTCTGCTTGGTGGGGGGGTGGGGGGGTGGGGTTTCTTTTTAAACATTCTAGGAGACAGTAAAAAAGAAAAGATTTCATATGTGAGTCTAACAATAGCCATGCTACCCATTATGGATCAGTTAAAGCTTTAATGCTATTTCAAAAGACTACTGACAGAAAAGAAGAATGCTGAGAATCGTCCACTACAAGAATGACACAAAACAAGATACAGCAGAGAACTAGCTCAGAAACACCACAAGCAAGTTGAGTCACAAACCCAGGGCGTCATGATCCCCTCAATACACAGCATCTTTCCACAGGCAGAAGAATATATTGAAGGTGACAGCAACAATACCAGGGAGATCCACTCTGAACTTAAAAGTGACTCAATTGCTGTGCCAAAAGCCTCTTGTTTTTGTAGATAGAATGATAAAAATATTTCCCTCCCCAAAGTACTAATGAGTAAACTTGTTATTTCTGGAGAAAGAACTGATGTCTTTGGTGGGGTCAGGGACTACTCAAATTCTCCACATATACTGGCTTGGCAGACGCACCCTTCCAACTACTTGTAAAGAGAATCATTAGCATCTTTCAAGCACAACAATACTTCCTTCCCTCTACTGTATTTTAAGTGCTAATCTTCTCCAGGTAAAGGGGGAAAAAAAAAAAAAAAAAAAAACACACACCCGTGTGAGGAGAATACAGCCCCGCCACCCCTGCTAAGGGAAATATATACATAAACTGTACGTGCAAGTACTCATGACATAACCCTTTCTACCTTGATTGCCAAAGATATTTCTCACGCTTGAGGCAAATGCTTCAGTGTTTCTAGAGTATTTCAACTATCTAGAAGTCTTGGATTTAAGAGATGACCGACCATTGCTTTCGATAAAGCCAAGGTATGAAAAGCTTTACATAATTTTATAATTACTCATTTTAGTAAGCTGTGTTGACTTACTTCTCTTTGTCCCATTAGAAAGCATTCGGCAGCAATGGCTCTGAGGAAAAGAAATATATAAAAAAATATTTATTCTTGAATGATTTTAAATGCCATTAGTGGCAGAATACTGACTGTGGAATGGAATTACAGATTCCTTGAGAAGAAACTGACTAGCTTCCAATGATGTTAATCTACAGTGAAAAGATAAAAATAGCCATTTTTTTAAAAACAACCTTACATGAGCAAGACATTTCAGTGGTTCCCCATTATGAACAAACACTGAAGAAAAAGATCAGTTCAGCATCACTGGATAATGGAGATTACTGCTATTGTGATATATAAAGGGGAGGGTAGACAGAGGGAGACAGAAGTCAATAGTTGAATTAAAAAGACAACGTGTAAATACATCATTCATTTATCTGCATAATATCCATTCACATAGGTTTCCCCAAGAGGGAAATTCCATTTCTCATTTTAAAAGAAGTGACAGTACCTCTGTCTGTTGTAACAGACAGTTACTGTTTAAATAATAATATAATGAAAGAGAGACTTCCAGTACAAGCCCAACTGGAAGGACATTTCAGATTTACCTTTGTGATGTAAACCTTATAAACAAAAGCAATATCTATGAAAACAGATGTATGACTGTTGCATTACATTTTCCAGATGGCCAGGCATGTTGGGATATTATATGTAAACATCTTGGCTTGCAGTTTCAGAATTTGAACATTGCTCTCCTCCCAGTATTGCAGAAGCAGTCTGTAAAAGGCATTCATGAGAAAGGAACACTGCTCTAATCACTGGGAACAGAAAAGCAATCCAAAGATACAAAGACATTACACAAAATATAGTATACCTAATCTGAGCCAAGAGTTGCAAGTAGGAAAAAAAACCCAAGCCACTATATACAATATTGACTGAACATGCTCTGAGAACAAAACAAAACAAAGAAGTTAAGATACACTTTCAGAGAACAACTGAGAAGTGGGAAACCACAGGGAAAATATGATCTTGGCACATTACAAGATCCATTTTTAGCATGCACAAGGTACCTGTATATTTGAAAGAAGACCAATTAGTTTTATAGTCATGTGGCTAGGAGATACTGTTCAGTCAGCTCTGCTCACCCATTTCATGTAGTATCTACATTGTCTAAGGAAGCTGCAAGTTCCATCTAGACACAATTGCAACTCGGTTTAAAATGCAGCCATTCAACTTCATGTGCCAAAGGCAGGTGTGCCACACGCTCCCCACGCCCCCAACCACACACACTTATTCCAAGTCTTGCTCTGAGTTATCTGGGGTCACTGTTGATGACGAACAGTAAGTGTCTGGGGACTTTTCAAAACTATTCAATCAAATGTTCATGAGTTCACTGCAGCTGAATATGGTAAAACATGGACACTCTAATCCTGGAAGAGTACATTTTGAAATACTGTTCAAGTAAGAATCAGTGCAATGCTTGTATCAACTGTTTTGTTTCCCGTAAGATTTTTTCAAAATTAAGGCTCTTTGCTAAATAAATGTGAAGTTAAGGCTTACAGTAGCACTATTATACACTGATGTATACATTTTTATTTATGCTGGAACTATACTTTTAATAGATCATTAACAACAAGATTTTAATATCTATCTGACGTTTCTCTACACACTTGAAATTTTGACCATTTGCAGTCATGTACAATGCAGAGCTAATTCCTGATTAATATAACCTTTCTGTAGATAGAAGAGAACCCTGTCAAATACAAGAAAGATTGAAATGATGTCAGAAGGCAAAATATGCCTCAAGCAACATCCAATAATAGAAGAGTTTTACTTTTGTAGTAGAAAGCAAACCATGCATGTCTTGCACAGAAACCAGTAGTTACATTAACCAGCTGTTTGTCTTGATTACACGTTTTTTTACATACCTCAGTGCAAGTCCAGGATTAGCAGGCATAGTAGAACAAAACCGTTCCAAGGTTTTGGAATGTTGAGATTTTGGAATGCAGCTCAAATAAAAAAGAATAACCTGTAGAATTTGAATTATAAACATTAATCCACTTTATAGCTGTCTAATTTTGATAAGAACAACGGAATGACAAACTATGAACATTATGACTAACATGAATTACCACCTACAAACCTTTTCCCTCAAGGGTACAGAAATCAACTTGTATAATGAAAATTTAGTGTTAAGTTGCTAATAGCACATATTTTAGTCCTTCTAGCCTGCATTTAATGAGTAAAGAGAAATGCATTGGATGTTAGCAAAACGGGACCCAAGATTTCTCTAAGTTTTATTCTGCCTGTAAAAGTGCTGTATTTGTTTTTATTCTTCCTCCTACTCTATTTCTTGTTTCTCAACCACTGTAACTTCTATGATCCAAACTGACAGTTTAAATACTGTTTCCATCTGCCAATGTTGCAGCTCTGCAGACTCCTCTTGCTCACCCATCTCTTCCCTCCTTTACTCATTTTCCTCTTTCCTCTAGGCAAGAATAGTTTATCATTAACAGCTGTATTCACAGTATTAAAGCATGCCATAATAAAGCTTCTCTTTGCCTTACACACCCTTTTTTCAAGGGGTCACTGCTAGATAGTCTTCTACTGAGTACCCTACTCTCCCAAGATACTTGTTTCTTTTTCTAATTCCTAGCTCTCAGTGTTCATATACTACTGGTGCTGTATTTGAACAAGTAAATTACAAGTACCTGCTAAAAGGTCGCCAGTCTCTGTTTAATTAAAACTGTCCACAGACACATTTTTACCTTATTATGAAACTCATAATTGGTCCAATAATCAGCAGTACTAAAAGGAATTGGGTATCGTGTGGGGACTGTAACCAGACATCTGTTCACTAGGTCAGTAAAAAGCTTGAATTCTTGAACTTTGTTGTTGGATCCAACAACTTTGCTACTGATAAAAACAAGATAACTGGAAGAAAAAAAAAAAAAAAAAGAAAAAAGATGGTTCTGGTAGCCTTCACTTAATAGTTTCTAGATTAATTTATTTTCTTCCCTTAAGAACTTACTCCAGCCAGATGTTCTGAACAGTTTCCTGCTGCATCACTGCTCCCAGAGCTGCTTCATAAGCATCCAGTGCTTCACCAACACTTGCATGAAGAGACTGGCACAAACTGTTTGTATTAGAAGTTAAGAAGTGTTGCATGTCAAACAATGCATGTTCTTACATATTAAGAGTAAGAAACAATTAAGAATTTCCCATTCTGAGATGCAAGAAAAACCAGTGTTTCCAGTATAGCAGCATTATGGACTTATTTATCAGTCAACTTATTAAAATGGTGAAATCTCAATTGGAGATAGTAAGAAATAATACAGAAACCATGCAGTTTAAAATTCAACTCTGAATTTAAACACAGATGAAATATCACAAATCGTCTTCTATTCTTGTAAAGTACCTTTTTTACTAATCCTTTTAATAGAGATGCTCTGACTGATACAAAACAGAGACAAGGCTTGAGTTTCTGTTTGGAAAGCTCCAGAATAATAAATTTCAGTCAGATTAAAACCACTTGAGAAATGGTATCAGACTGTGGAAACAAAATTAGGGTTCTGAAACAAATACTGCTAGACATCTCGGGTAGAAATATGCTGATCATGTCAGGGGAAAAAAAAAAAAAAAAAAACAAACTAACAAGAGTAGTCAAAAACCCCCTTAATTGTGTTCCACAGTTCCTCAAAGAAACATATGGTCAGACGAACACATAGGACATCACTAAAGAGAAGCAGGCACATTTTTTTAACCAAGATTCAGTGAACAATCCTTATTTCAAAGTGTAAAGCAACAGTGAAAGAGGTAAAACTTTCAGTCATGAGGGAAAAAAAAAAAAAAAAAAAACAAAACAAAACAAAAACACTCTCGAAGAGGAAGACTACAGAAATGCAAAATAAGATAGCTTGCTACAGAACCCTCCTGACTAGGGTCACATAATCAGAGTGCCTGATTCTACTCCTGCTTTCCCCAAGAACTAAATCACCGATTTGCTACTCTTCTTAAAAAGTATGTGTATACATTTGTGCACACACACACACACAATGATCTTTCCAAATAAAGCACTGTTCTTTGAGCTTTGAGAATTTGCTGATTTTCATCTCATCATTTTCACTTGCTAAAAATTAACTTCTATGTCATTTTTCCTCTGTACCTGAAATAAAGGAAAGACAGATACATAGACCCAAATACCTAGGCACTTACTGTGGCAAAACTCAACCACAGAAACACTCCATTATTAGCTCTCAAAGTAATTTAGGTGCTTACTTCAAGGGCCATAATCTTCCTCTTAGAAGCAGGTGCTAAAATACAGGAGCATCTGAGCTTAAGTTAAGGTCTCTAATGACTAAACAGTGACCGCAAGTGTCTAACAAAGTTTCTATTGTGCAAGTACCAAACAAAATTGAACTTCCAAAGAGGTAAGTATTCTCTAAAAAAAAAAATTATTTGAATTGGTATTAATGGACAGTATAAAAAACAACTTAATCTAAACCTTAAATAAAGATTTTCTTGAAAAACATACATTTCACCTGTTCAGAAGTTGTCCACCAATTAAAAGCTATAAGCAACAGTACTGAAGGAGTTTTGAGGAGTCCTCACTCAGTATCTGAAGCATTACCATCTTCGCCCCTTTACTTATCTGAAAAGCCAAATAGCTACTTGAAGATTGGCAAACCCAGACCATGAAGTGGTAAACTTCTTAAACAGCCTTAGTCAACATCTCAGTAACTACAGTTATACTAGTGTAAGTTATAGATGGCTAATACTTTGGTGCTTGCCAATCCTGGATATTACTGCTGTCAAAAGGAATGGTAGAAGAAACAAAAATAATATTGTGTATACCTAACAAAGATCTGTCACTTTTGCAATCTCTTGCAGAGGAAAAGGTCACTTTGCTGTATTACTTTACTACAGAGGGGTGTCTGTGGCTAGTTCCAACTTCTATAGTCTGTTGATAGTAGCTCCATAAACAGCTGAAACTGGGTTAAGGAAGGTGGGGAGACCAGGACTAAATAAAGTTAAACAGAGCAAGGGAAACTATTGAAAAATAAGTGAGACAACTGAAAGCCAGAGCAACAACACTACTAACAGCAGCAACCTAAACCCAAAATAACACCAAAAAAAAAAAAAAAAAATCACTTTGAGATGAACACGCCTGTTACTGTTCCCACAGGGCAGAATTTATGAAAGATTTCTCAAGTGGAGAATTTAAATTGATGTGCAATTCACAGTTTCATAAAATTGTCTCTGTTGTGCAGCAGGCAAGTAGGTTTTCTAAGGACTAGCAGATTATTTATTGACAGAATCAAGTGATATACTCTTAGGCAAACAATATTCTGCTTTTGAAAATGCAATTTACTCAGACCCAATAGCTGTTTCCCAGAAATACTTTAGAAAGTCTCACCAGTAGATCTGCCACAGATATGGGATTTGCTGGTTTACAACATCATCTGTAAGATGTTCTTTATAGAGAGGTGACGTAAATTCAATTGGCATTGGAAAATTCAAGAGATATCTACAAGAGAAAAAAGCAGTAGTAAATGAGAATATCCCTCCACATGGAAGAGTCCTATGTGGATGAAACACTTCCAAAATCCAGCTCATGGGACATTAAAAAAATATGCATTTTTCCTAGATTTTAGTTTAACTTTATCCAGATAGAATTTATACAAAAAGCATTACATGGAAATATAGAAACAGTTAATATAGAAAGCATTTACTCCCTCATTATGTACTAAGTTCTTTTATATCTCAGATGCTCCCCTCCCCACATGAAGTATATTAAGTAAGGCACAGTCATCTACACACACTCAGCCAAGCTGCACTGCCAATACTAAATGTAATGTAAACAGAAATAAAAATCTAACACCTAACTTGGAGATAAAAACATTTCAAAGTATCTTCTGCATAAGTTTCCACACAGGTCTTCCTTTGGCAGCCTTCAGAGGCATCTATTTTGACTATAGGGAACTTGTCCATTTCAAAACTTCAATAAGTCTCTCAATTAGGGGCTAAAATTAAAGTAAAAAAAATCAGCAGGCTAGATACGATCCTGTGCCTTTTCAACAATTATAATCTGTTGATTACAAGCATGCTGGACCTCTGGACTGAGATCTTTTGCAAGTACCTAAATACAGTGGTTTAGGTATGCAATTTTAGGCTCCTAGCTTTGGAGAAAACAAAAACAAAAAAAACCCCACAACTTTGGCATACATATGATTAATTTTAATTCCCCAAATCCAGACATTCAACTTGCTGGCTCTTTCATCTTTAAATGCTTGTGGTTTTACAAGTTAGTATACACACACAAACAACAGGTATAAACCTTATGAACTACCAAATCATAATTTACTTAAGTTTTAGCAAAACATGCCAAGATAAAAATAGAGGAGTTGACAAATTCTAGAGTGTCTTGACAAATTCTAGAGTGTCTTGTTTTTCAAGAAAATGCCAATATTACCAAAATTTAAGTAGAAAAAAATATTCTAAATGTACCTTAAGAGATCCATGGGACCATGCTGTTGACATGTATTCTCAAAGAAAGCTGCCACAAAATCTTGCAACAGTGGAAGAATACTGCTTGACCTTTCCTGTTTTGGGATTTTATTTTTTAAATATAAAAAAGTTAAAATTAGACATTAACCTGAAAATGACAATAACAATTTAAGCACAATAAATAACAAGTGGTGTGTCTATCTGCAATGCTCCTTTGTCTTCATTCTCTCAAGAATGAAGACTAATTGGGCTAGTCAGCAAGTAGCAGAAGAAAGCTAAAAACATATTACAGGGTTTGCCATTAATGTGTATTATTCTCACTTATGGATATTAACACTGGGTTGGAACAACTCAAACTATAAATTTATGATTTTATGTAATTCCTTTGATTATCTTTAATCACGTTACTGACCTCGACAATTCTATCTTTCCCATCTACGTAAAGGAGTACTTGACATTACAAAAATATCATGAAGATTAATCAATTTGGTAAGTGCTTGAAGAAACACACAAGATCCAAGCTTTATAAAGCCAGCAGACCAACAAAATAAGTTTTGGAGTATAGTATTACCTGTGAAACAAGGAATTTACATAATTGATAAAAAATTTCTGCATTCTGAGGATTCTTCTCAAAAGCTTCAATCCACACTTTGTAGGCATTGTCACTCTGGTCCATCTGCAAATACAAGGTGGCCAAACTCTCCAAGAGCTGACAGTTATTAGGGCAGAGCTCCAATAAAGATCTACAAAGTTCTGCAGCAGAATCCCACCTTAAAGAAAAGTAAAGGTAAGTTTTCAAAGAAGCAGAGTTGAATACTCCAATTAAAAATGTCTTGAAACAACCTACCTTTCAAGAAGCTTCAGCAAAGCTATCATGTTTCTGTAGAGAGGAAAGCAGATAGCTATTCTTCTGTCAGCCTCAAGGCTTTCATCAGTACATGTTTTAACCGCATCTTCAAAACAAAAGCAAAAATCAAGTCTTTAGACCTCAAGCAATGTCAACATTATTTGAAGCCTTAACATAATAAAGAGTCTCATCTAACATGATGAAAATGCTTAAGTGTGGAAAGATATTTCTGAGAGTGCTGCTTTTGCAAATTAAGAAAAGGAAGATGACCATCTTTGGAAGAGCTCTCAACACTTATCACCACAGTGCAAAGATGGAAGTCTTTCAGAAGATTCATCCCTTATTTATGAAACAGGAAACATCCTACCAATGAAATGTTAAAGCCACACTACAGATAGCAGTGTATTAGTACATTTAAAACTACATTCCAGGATTTCCAGCATGGCTGTTGAAAGCTATTGAGACAAAATCTAATATAGGATATCATTTTTCTTCTCAGCATAATAAGAAGCTACCCAATGATGAACACTCCATTATCGTGGCTAGACTGCCTTCACTCCCACAGTTGGGCTACTCAACTTATCCTTGAGTATTTCAACAGTGCATTACCACCTGTGGCATAAATCTGTTCTCAGTGTCAATTCAGTATTGCCGCTGGCTAACAGATTAAGTACTGACTTTTATACAATGCTATTACAAAGCCTACCTATGGCAGCAGCACAAGACAATGATTCCGTTTCTTCCAGTATCTTCATGTTACATCTTTTAAAAAATTATTCCGTTTATGTAAACTTTCAATGAGGACAAACACGTATTGCTCTGCCTCTTCTAAGGAAACACACTAATCTTCCAGGAAAGTAGCTTTCCAATAGACACATCCCATTGAGGGAAAGGAGGGTAAGAGAAAGAACTTTAACAGAAGCTTGGCTTTACACTTGCATAAGCCCAAGAAAACGAGCTATGTCATACTGTCACAAGTCACTGGTCTTTATCTTGACAGAATACAGTTCAGAGGAAAAGCTATGGCTTTAAACCACAGATGAAAAATTCTGTGTTAAGTACCCAAGAACATGGACTTTCCTCACTGCTCTGTTCAGATCAAGATGAAACATTCACTGAATTAATCACAATGGCTTAACAGAGTCATCAGCGACACTGCCTTGAAACTCCAAAAGCTGGATAATATATCTTGATTTACAAGTGATTAATGTATTAAGTAGTTTGCCTCCTTAATCTTACCTTCAAACATAGCTAACAGTGTGTCAGGATCAGTCTTCACATCTTGAATTGTTTGCCATGGTATTAAAAATGGCTCTTTGTTCATGATCCTTGAAGGATTGACATTAGCTGGATCATAGAACTTGACTGGGAGAACGCCAAATTCAGTTAGATGTATGTAAACCAGCCAAGCCAAGCAACGGTCACTTACAGTAAGGCGTTCTGGTATCTTTTCATTTGCTGATTTTAAAGCATTCTGTAAAAGTTAAAAGAAATATAATGTATTTCAACCATAAAATCTTTAAGATCTTAGAGAGTGAGAAAAGGAAACCGGAAGAGTAAGTTTTAATATTGTCAAATCTCTTCCATAGAAAAACTAATTGTTTACATCAGTCATGCTTATATTTGTCTTATGTATGACTGTATTCAAAACATACACATAATTTCTAGTAACAGATTTACAAAAACTGGAGAAGATTGTTACTGTGAAAAGTGAACAGAGATATACACTGAAAACATGCATCTCCCAACATGTGTTCCATTTTTCTGCTTATTTCTTGGACAATTACCTTCTGTTGCATAGAAATAATACATTAGCTCTAGAGACAAGTAATCTACAAGTTGGATTCAGCTTGCTATGTATCCTACTGGGTTTTGTGATTATGGAGTTGGGGGCTTTTATTGTTTTGTTTGTTTGTTAATTAAATTCTAATTACACAGCTACTAAGTTACAGCTATCCAAAGTCTACTGAAAGCACCGCCATCTCTAGACAGTTTAAAAAAATGCATTGGAAATGTTACTGAAAACAAGGATACTGCTTCAAATTTTCCTATCAGTCATATGTGAAACTAGAATAGCCCAATAAGATTGGCAGATCCTAAATAAAAATCATTAGAGCATGCAATTAGACGAAGTCTGAGCACAATTGCTCCTGAAACAGAAAAGAATCTCATGGCTAGTGACGTGCCAACATTTTTCTAGATAAATGCATGCAATCAAAGAATGAACTTTGCAAATTTAGACAAAATTCACCAGGACACTTCTCTTGTAATAGGCAAAAACTAAAGTTTCACAAACATTTCACTTATTCACCCTTCAAAATACTTCAGAAAAACTGCTTTCAAGTTTTCTAAGAAACACATTGCTACTTACTCTAAAATGGCATTGACTTAGGTATTATCTTCTCTTAAACATGGTTAAATAATCTCTCCAATACATTCTTTTCAACTATGCATTTCAGATTAATATTAAAAAAGCTTGGTTTTGTGATGATGCTTTGGGGAAAGGTAAGGGAAACCAACCCATGTTATTCTCCCATATATACTCAATTTCCATGTCAATTCAACACAGAGTTTTTTCTCCGTTTTTTTTCATTCAGTCAAACATTCAGAGTTACATTTATCAATACTGCTGTATTTAGGATAGATTTTAAAGGGAATCACACAGCATTATACTTTTCTATTTCAACTGGAGCTAGGAAAAACCATTATGGCCTTAAACTACATAACAGAAAAATGTTTTAGGGTGTAGCAAGCAACATGTGCCACCTGCTGGTAGGAATGAAAAAACTCGCAATTGAAACTACAGCAGCTCCCACTTTTAGTAGGAGCTGACATCAGCACTCCATTTCTCACCTTTATCTACCACTTCCCTTGTCTACAGAACAGTTAACAGTGACCTAAATCCTTTTTCTAGTCTCAATAAAAGCCTGAGATACCTCCATGACTTTGGAGTTCATGGGATCAATAAGGACAGATTTAACAGTCTCCAAATTCTGGAGCAGGGCAATACTATTAGATAACACCATACTCTGTTCTTCCACAAGAACTACTGTTTTGATGATTTCTGTAGCAATAAACATTCAAGTACCTGAGGCAATACATTACTCACAGGCCTTTCACTGCAGAATAGTATTTTACAGCCTACCAGAAATCAAGCAGTAAAACAATTCCCTGAGAACTATTGAGACATAGTGGTCTAGGCTATTAGCTACACAAGAAAAGCAAAATAGGTAACAAAAACCCCAAGGAGATACCGCTGTAAAATTTGGGTACCGTATCTCAAAACACAAGTCTCTAGGAGAAATACTTCAGCAAATAAAGGAAGGAACAGTTTGTCTAAAGTTGACACTACCAGAGCCACAGGTATGAGAAAGGTGAAGATATGAAGACAATTCCTGGGGTGGTAGCCTGGAAGTTACCTGCAGCAGAACAAGAGCATTCTGATGCCTTCCTGTAAACAGGCTTAAGTGAACCCTGTACAGCAGAGTCTCCAGCAGCTGAAAAGACAGGAGATTTGGATTTTCTTCTCCCCCCGTCACTTCCATTAAGAACTGTAGCATCCTCCCACAAATGTAGTCTTTTCCATCAAAGGAATTCTCCAAATTCAAAAACTAAAGAGAAAATATTATTAATAATAACAAATACTAGCAAAGCTTCTGGGTTTAAGTTTAAAATCACTTGAATCACAAACTTCAGTTCATGTCTTTCACCACCTCAAACTATACTGCCCCCTCTCACCAAATTTTCACATTAAACCTCAAAACATGCTGTTTAAATATTAAAGATCAAATACTCAGGGTTAAATTTTGCAAGCTTAAGCAACAAAAAATAAGACATGTAACATCTCAATTTTAAGTAACTCTTATTACCTGAGGTAGTGATGATTTCTACAAACACCTTGCAAACAGAACTTTGAATTGCTTTATTTTGAGCAACTCTAGCTTTCTGAAAACTCAATAGTATTTTTGGGTGCACACTTTCCTTGTCATACATACTGGTTTTCTACAGTAGAAAATGCACACTTACATAAACATTTCACATATATATTTTTTTTCACTTACGGTCCACCAGATTTGATAGGAGGGAGCATATTCTACCGCTGTTTCACACATTTCCTGTATCTCCTCCTTGGTTCCTCTTTTTGAGAAGAGTCTGAGGTAATGACACCAAATTTCAGGGTTTTCTTTGTTGTTCTCAAGGGCTCGAGCCAAAACATTTAAAGTAGAATCCAAACATTCAGATGATGAGCTGTAAAAATTAGAAAATTTAAAAAGCACTCAATATCAACTGTGCTAGTATTATGACTTACACAAGATCAAAATGAAAATGGATGTTTGTAACAGGAATGGAAGTGACAGTCTTTTTTTTTAAAAAAAAGTCTTGTCCTTTACTATGAAAGTTTCAACATTTCACTAAGTTCTCATCCTTCAAAGGTTATTATTAGGTGCAATTATTATAGAGCATGGAAAAATAAGTTCTTTAGGAAAAGAGTGCAAATTCAAGTCAAGAATATGATTTAATTGAAAATGGGTAAAATTCATCTGTAAGCAAAAGTCTCAAGCTGCAATCATACCAAGGCATTTACATCATACAGACTTATGTAGAAATTTCAAAGGCTTAATAACTTAAAATATTTATTACATATTTAGTTTACTTTCTACATTCAAACAGAAGCCTTTATTTCAGGTTTCTATGCACATGCAAGTTCTCTCTGCCTCTGACCCATTAAAAAAAAAAAAAAAGGAGATTTTACTTTGAGGTAACTATCATGAGATGATACTAGTAAAGTTATACAAGATTAGCTCAAATAACTGACTACATTAAAAACCACAGAGCTGAACTTTAATTCATAAACAAACTTCCATAAAACCACAGAAAGCTTCTGAGGTCACATTTATTCTGAAAACATCTTTAGAAATTAATTTGCATAGACATTTATGGGAGGAAAAACACATGTCCTAAAATACAACTAACACAGTTCACCATGTGTAAGTCTGAAGACTCCCCAGCTCCTTCTATCATCACTGACACCTACTAAACCACCCAGTTTCTTCTGAGTATTGAGGCAGCTGGCAGGGGAATTGGGAGAGGTGGCTGTTTTAACCTAATGGAAGACTATGCACCCTTTTCTTTTCTCCCTTCTTTTCCTGATCTTTTTCCAAGTATATTTCTATTTAGAAAGTGTGCTCTTCTCACCACACCACCTGCTGGTAGTATTTTTTTTGAGTACTCACCTTTCCAGTTCTATCCCTTCTAGTGCTCAGGCAGCTATTGATATAAGCAAACTGATCTTTTGCTACATTACCCATTATCCACAGTTTACATAAGGCTTTTAAAACAGAGTTGCTCCTCTCCATTCCCCTTCCTCCCTACTGCAGCTCCTCACTATTCAAAAAATCAAAGTCAATCTCTAGAATGAAACCATCATGACAGAATTCCTACCAAAATTATCTGATTGCCAATAAAAACATGGTACCCTGCAGAATAATTTAAAGGAACCAACTAGAGAAATTTAAAAATCCAAAAATTACAAAATAAGAAACTGAGTGATCAACTGGACCATTTCTACAGGGATAAAACCATATAGCAGAACTCTTCTCATAAGAAAACTTTCTAATGAAAGCTATTTCAAACATTACTGCAAGCATTCATGCTGTAGAGGAAAAATGGATTTGAGTTTATTGGTCTACTACTTTATCACTGGAAGTACAATGTTCCACAGTGATTTTGGGAATTTGTTAGCTTGTGCACTTTTCAAACACAATTATTTCTCCCACACTACCTTCCATCAACTTCTCTTCTCAATCAGAACCTACCTAAAGATAAACCATCAGTGCTATTTATTACATACTATACTGCATACAGTAGAAAATCTACTTTTTAACCTTTAAATTATAAATCATTTGTGGCATTGTCAAAGCAAGTTCTTTAGCATCAGAAAGAAACTTGATTATGGCAGCATGGGTAAAGCACAAAATCTAATCTAAAATGTAGCAGACTTACCCTTCATTTTGATTCAAGTATTTGTACGCAAGTTTAATCCAAAGCTGTACATCACAGGGGTTTTCTTGGACACTTGCCTCCAAGTTGGAAATGTCATCAGTCTCACTTGTAAAATACCGGACATCATCTGGAGTCACTACAGCATCAAGAGCTGGAACTCTTTTTTTATGTTCTGTGGGATGGGCTGCAAATAAATAATTTTTGAAAATGTTTCTTTTCAGAACAGAAGTGACCTGTAAGATTACAGCTCACACAAGGGCAGGCATTTATATATTTCAAGTATAACCATTTTTTGCTGTGGTCAGTGGTTATTTCAACATTCTCTGAAACTTAAAACTGTGTAGTCTGTAGGAAACAGGTTGTATTTCAAATGAAGGCAAGAAATAAATAGCTGTACAAAGCTGCTTTGATCATCACACAACAATTAAGGCAGTTCACTAGGAAATGAACACATTTGACAAAGAAAAATTTATCACAATTATGAGTCTCAAAAAATCCTTTTTACAGTACCTGATAAAAAATCCTAAAGCTCCCACTTGCACAAATCACACGTGAAACACTTACAGGTTATTGACACTCTGTCAAGCTTCCAAGTCTCAAATGCCATTTAACAGCAGCTTTTTTTAACTCCTGACCTCAACACCAAATACTAACTCCGTGTAAATTTAAGATATCCACACACATTAAGTTTTATTATTTATAGTTCTGGGAGGGAAAAAATAAAAATTGTAAAATAATCCTAAAGGTCTATAGGCAAAGCTGAAGCATTCTAGGGATACAGTTCCTTATGTTCCTTTTAAAAATAGGTAAGTAGAAATTCCACTTTGACCTCCTGTGACACAGGTTTTGGGGTTTGTTTTGTTTTGTTTTTTAACTTAAACACAACAAATTCAGGTTAAACTTCACCCAAAAAATTATGCAACAAACTTTGCATGCAGAAAATCTGAAAAGAGTTATTAAAGCCATTGTTTTTAAGAACCACTTTAAAAATTAGGTGTTGGGAAGAGGTTGGTAGGTATTTTCTCCCAGTACTCTTTTCTTAATGGATGTCACAAATCCAGATTACCATATTTAATAGGTCCAACAAACTGTTCCTCTTCACTGCTGCTACTGTCTAACAGCGGTTTTCTCCAGTACTTTGGTCTCCATTTCCTCTTATCTTTCCATGTTGTAAATGGAGGTGCTGTAAACAAGTGAAGTAGAAGTTTTTACTTTTCTGTATTTGAGATTAAAAATCTTTGCTAATAAAGATTTTAGATAAAAACTTTCTGTGAGTGCAACACAAGTGTGTAAGTTTCAACACTACTTAAAATCTATTGTGCTGAAGTGCATAAATCACTTTTCCAAATTGGATTCCAAAACTACTATATTATTGCCTTAAAACAAACTCTGGTACCTTTAATTTACCATAAGCAGAATTTATACTACTGAGATAAATACACTAAGCAACAACAACAAAGTTCTTGGTTTACAAAACCATCAAGGTACTTACATAATTTTAAATGTTCATATTGTATTGAATCTACCAGGTTACTTACTGTGACTTTTACTCTCATTGACATTGCTGGCCAGAAGAACAGCCATCTGATCCACTGACATACGGTCTCTGTTTATACCAAAAAGTTTTTCAACATATTTTTCTGAAAGAAGGATATTTGTATCTTACGTAAATACATAAATGAAAGTGGATAGGCATGTTAATAGCAATTTAGCACGACCTATGCTGAATTCATGAAATATGACTGCTTCTAGAAGTACGGTAATTTAACACACTAGAACAAAGAAATGTAAAACTGAAAAAGTTTTGTCTGGAAACTTGCCTATATGGCAACAGGATTGTTACAAAATTGCTGCTCCACTGAAACAGACCAGTCCAGTAGTTACAAGAAGTGAGGAAAGGGAGAGGGAAAGATTCCATGCCCACTGCTCCCCAATCCTCTGAATCCCAGCAATACTTTTTTTTTAGTGAAATGCTCCACAGATCAATGAGTTTTTATTTCTGTAATCACACAAAGGTAACTACCCACTACAGAGGACTGAATTAGACAACTGTAGAAACCTATTTTTTATCATATAGCTGTATCTTATACATTGCATCACAAAGTCCTTGCACCCAGAGCTTTCAACTAAAGCCATTCCCTTCAGAAATGAATCTTTGTATATAAAAGTGAACAAAAGACTCTTAAAAACCTGTGGCAGTGCTGATTTCCTCATCAGTGCTTTTTTCTGAACAGCCAATCAGCTCTAAATTGTAAGACAGAATATCCTGAAACAGCTGCTTACGGCTAAGAGTGCAATCTTTCATGTGCTGCCTAAAACAAACAAATAAGCGATTAATTAAATTATTGCTGTGATAAATATATAAGGGCTGTAACTAGAAAGTTTGCTTTCGTACACATTAGGGTGAGGCATGAAGAAAATTATACCCACAGAAAACACTATATCCTGCTTTGAAATTTCTGGTAAATATGTCTGGTTCTTCTCTAAACTTAAGCCTGCACCAGTGACTCCATTCCAGTCTTCATTATTTTACTATAGCCTTACTCTTTAAAATACACCTTTACACACCCAGTTCACACTAACACAAAACCACAGTACTTAAAACTTTCCAGTTTAAACAAGGTAGTTAGAAAAATTAGATATTACTTTGTATTTAAAAGATTCAAACTATGGTTTCATGCTAACAGCTGACCCAAAAAGCTGCCACCAAAAAGGGAAGAAAAAGAGCTAAAGTCCACTCCTATTAAATTTTTCCAGTAGTTAGAAGTTTCCAAACTGAGTTTATTCCTGACCAATTCACATCCATTTGCTCTTGTACCAACTTTTTAAATATACTGTGCAATATTGGTTAATAAATTATTTCTAATGTAATTTAACACCAGGCTTCAAAGAAACAAACAGCCAGTATTTTCCCAGAAAACTAGAATTCCACTACAATAGTTTTTTTGTTTTTTTTTTTACTTAATCATATATTTGGTATGTGTTTTATTTCAGTTAGTAGCACGATACCTCTCTAGATGGTCTGAGATTATGCTGAAGCTATAAAAGCAAGAAAAGTCCTGTCCGAATTACAAGGCAATCAAAAGGTGAAATATTCTATAACAGTCCATACTGCTGTTCTAAATTTACGTCTAAAGAACCTCCTTTCTTCATGTCTTAGATAAAAGTATTTTTTTTTTTCCCTGCCAATGAAGTATCTGCAATAGGGTATTAAAAATAACTTTATTTTCTAGAACTTGCGCATAGGACCATAAATCCAGACCTTTTAAACAAATGAAAAATGTGCCTATTTTGGTCTTTGAGTCAGACATCTAGAAGAGAGGCCTAGTTCAAATGAACAAAATTAAAAAGAACTCACCACTGACAGTCATCATCATTACATGTGCCTGTTAAATCAAAACGGCAGAAACACTGTTTTGGCTCAATCATATTGCTATACGTTACTGAACTGAGGTACAGTTTTTCCTTGGTTCGAAAATACGGACTGAACCTAAAATGAAATGGTGAATCATTGTGACAAAGCATACAAGGTAATACATCCATTTTACTAAACAAAACATTTGGGGGAAAAAAAAAATGTCACTTTTTCTGTATTAAATCTCATTTCTAAAACCCTACTACTACCCAAAAGCATTGCTGATCTACGAGTTAAGAGGAAAATGAAAACAGAGGGAAGGAGGAACAAGACAATACTTCTTAACTGAAACAGTCTGTTCTAGAATTCTCTTCTCCCTTAAGTGCAGAACTTCATTTATTTGTATAAAAACAGGAAATGTAGTAATGACCCAGTAGGGAAAGCAAACTACTGAAATTGAATTTCAGTTTAGTTCTAGAAAAACTGCACTCATGCTCTAGTCAGCGTAAGATCAGAGTCAAACAGAAGTATAAGAGAACCATGAAAGATTAACCTGAATAAGTGAAAAAATTCCCATCACATTTTAGAATGCGTAAAATAAAAAAAAGCAGTCTGAGCTGAGCAGACTAATACCTGTTTTAAATCTTTAGCTAAAATCTGACTATGTTGATTTTGGTATTTCTAGCTCCTTACGGAGTTAAAGCTGTAACTTACAAGAAGGTAAAACGAATACGCCCGTAAAGACAGCATCCTCTGTCTTTTGCTATTTAAGAGTACAGAAACAAAAAACCTCAAGCACGTGGGTAGGACTCAACAACTCCAGTTTAAATTTCAGACTTCTGTTTTCTAAAATTTAATGTGTAGGAACAAAGCTCTCTCTAGTCAAGACAGAGGGGTCAGTTTGACTATACTTGCAGGTGCCTACTTTTAAGTTAAGATGAATCACTGTGGTCATACCTCTTTCCACTGAGCAGGAATCTAGAAATAGTTGATTGGCTCAATCTTGATTTAACGTAAATCCTAGCCAAGTTTAAAGACTGTATAATCGAAATACACTTCTGTTATGTTTTCCTGGATTTCAGAGTTTCATATTAGATATAAAAATCCTGTTTTCAAATGCTTAACTATTATTTTTTTAATTTAGTCATACCAAACAATGATCCAGTTGTAGGGAACAGTACACAATACAAAGCAAAAGCAGCGTACTGCTGAAAAGCAAGGGACTCCTGCATACCAGAAAAAAATAACTAAAATCATTAGATTCCCTAAACTAGACAAAACTGTTTCGGGACAGTTCCTCACTGTTACTTTTATTTCTGTACATGCCTAGGTATCAAGGAAGAGCAGTGAATAATACTTGAACAAGAACACATACACACAGAAGTCAGAATTGCTACAGTCTTCATACCTGTAGGATTTAAATGCTAGAAGAGGACTATGATATGGTCCAAATGGAAATGGTTTAACTTCAATTTGCTTATTCTGTGACATAACAAAATCCATGTCCACTGAAATTTCCTAGAAAACAGATAAACAGATATACAGCAATCACAGTATCACCTAATAAAGACAACCCTCGTATTTAGTTTTAAAGCATTTACCTGACCACACAACAAATCTTCCTTAGGTACTATAAAGGCAGTACTTTTCACTAGCAGCTCTTTCAAGCTGTCAGCTTTAGCATAAAGTTTTTTCAGCTCATCAATATTCAACCCAAGAAACAGCTCAGGCTCCTCTGATGCCTTTTTAGAAAGTTTGTTTATAGTTTCTTGTTTTGGAGTGTCCACGTGTTTAAGATTTGGTTTAGTAAAAGAATTAGACTCTCTGAAAGATCTCCTTCGTTCTCTGTTTGAATTAGACAGAACTTCATCATCAAAGTAATTTTCTTCACTGTCCAAAGACAATTTATCCTGTGTAAGATCATGAAGTGATGGCTGAGGTAATGCAAATTCAGACTCCTCTTCTGCATGAGGTACAATATTCGATTGTTCCTTGGTTTGAAGTGCACGGGCTTCTTTCAATTTCTGAATCTTTAGAGCATATTCATACTCTAGTTGCTGTAGTCGTTTTTTCTCTAGTGCAATCAATTCTGCTGAATGTTTTTTTGGACTTGATGCAGGGGAGTTCTCCAATTTCAACATTTTGCTTGGCTGAAAAGAGAAAAATTCCCTTTATTTCATTTTCACATTTACTGATCTATTGACAAGAGGCAAATGAAACATGGGCAAGATATTTAATTCAGAGTTTGTAAAAACTTATTTTAAACTCTGCCAGAAAATTTCAACAAACAGCAGGAAAACAGCACACGGGTTTGCCACAATTCAACTAGCAGGTTTTTTGGTAAAAATTACCCTACATCGTGTACAGGGCTTCAACAGAAGTTCTGGACACATTTAAAAGGTGAACTATAAAACAAGTATAGACAGTAGTGGTGGGAAGATAGACAGATAGGGACAGGACACACCGAAAGAAACATTTATAGGAATGTTTTAGCCTTTTCTATCTTTTGTTTTTCAAAACAGTATCAGATTCCCTCTTCACCATCTTTGCTATATAGTCTCAACAAGATCAATGATGTCTACAGACAGTAAAGTATTTCCTTCCTTCCTTCACACGCATGTATCTCCTCTTATTATTTATCTATGACATTCCCCTGGCACAGTACTGTAGGTTTTGAACAGTTTTCTTTTTTAAACTATTAATGCCTTTTCTGTTGGTTTCCTATATTTTTGAGAATTCAACAGGAAGATTCCTGCAGTGCTTTTGAAATGTTTTCCTATTTTCCTGAAATCCCATTTGAACTCAAGTTTCCTAATTAAAATTGCTACTGCTTTTCAAGTACAGCATGGTTTAAAAGCACGAAACAGAGAAACAGACTTACTCCAAGATGATCTTGCTCCAGTTTTCGTTTCCCAATTTCCTTACTTGCTACTGCTTTTGCTCGAGCAAGTTCTTCCCCATATTTTAATGCCAGAGCTTTTTTTACTGTAACTCGTTGTTGAACTTTATGAATCTGAAAAAAATAAAAAGAATACTACAGTAAGATGCAGTTTTTCAGATATGAACGCATAATAAAATATAATCAGAAAAGACACAGGAATTAATCATTAATTCAAACAAAGCCTACTGCCTCCAAAAGTCAGGCTTCCCATTTCAAGATTTCCAGCTCTAGGAAACAAACTTTTCAAAATTCACATTACTTGTTCCTGAAGCTTCTTGAGAAACATCTTATTAGCATTCAAGATCTTCTCTGTTGCTTGTAGCTGTTCAGCCAGTTTGTTAATTTTATTTTCAGCAATTCGAACATTCTCTCTTTTCTTGGCCTCTTGTTGCAACAAATGTTTCAAGACAGATTCATCCTTCATCAACAGAAGTCTAGAAGTAGAAAAGCCAGTAACAATTTTTTTTCCAAAAGGAAGTTTCTCAGAGCCATCACTGTTCCTCTGAAACCCTACTTATATAAGAACCCAGCTCTTTTTCACTTAGCAACATTCTGAGTATCTCCAGATATTCTTAACATCCATGAGCCAATAAATATTGATAGTACATACAGCAGATTTCAGTATCCCAAGTTCAGCACGTCAGCGTAAAACAGATGAAAACATTCTAGTTACGAGGACAAGGGAAGGTAAGCAAGTTGAGTACCTTTAATACTGTTTTTAACAGAAAGCAAAAACATGTTGGTTTGGATGTCTTAATGTTAAGTAACAACCCAATTCTTCCTTAAGGCACATACATGTATTAGCAGACTACAAGCTGTAGTATTATGGCACAGTAGCAGAGTGAGTAAATATAAAAATCTATGCATTAAAGGAAACAAGATAAAGACTTAGACAGATGGGAGGGGGAAATAATGTTCTTCAATTGATGTCTAATCACAAAACAGTTTGTTCACAAGACCGCACAGAAACAATCAAGTGGCAACAGAAGCAGAAACAAAAAATGCAAAGCATTTATATTTTCCACAGTAACTTTGAAGAAGGGTGAGAAACATGGAAGAGGCATGCTAAAAGAGAAAAAACGTACAGGAAAAGCTTCAAACAGCTTATCTGTTTTTCAGAAACACTCATTCATATATATATATGCACACACATACATTTATACATATAAATGTATATATATAGTCAGGCATATCCCATTGGAACATGCTACCTTCAGTGTACTGAGAACTGAAAAGCACACTAATTTTTTCATAGTTCAGAGTCTTTAAGGGGCACATGAGATATTCTAGTCACTCAACATAAACACAGCTGAAAACAGTTAGCATGACAAACCATACTTAAGAGTTACCAAACACCATACTGGCACTACAACACAGTTCCTCTTGTACAGCAACAGAATTCAAGACTGAACAGTTCAAGACAACAGAAAACCAACTGTTTGATATACTTAAAAACGTTACACATTAAAAAGTATTATTTACTATTTTCATCCTGCTAAGCAAACAAGGGAGGATTTACGACAGTGAAATACATACCTATTCTTCTTCAGCTTTGCTTCTGCTTCTGTGACTTGTTTTGTCACTACTGCTATTCTCCCAATTCCATCAACTTCACCATCAGAATTTGCAGGGGATGAATTGTTTCTCAGTGGATCAGATTTAATTAAGCGTTGCTTCTCACGACTACAACAGAGATGTTCAAAGCAAAGATGTTCAGTAGCTTCAGTATTCATTTCAATGTGTACTCATTAGTTTTAAAATCTTCCAAAAAGTAGCAGGACAAGATTTTAAGTTAAAAGAAAGAACTTTCCACAACTGCCATCAATTCTTGTAAGTCAGTTCAAATCCAAGGACTTAAGATTCCTATGTTTTCTTACTAAAAATTGAACGAGGGGAAATACCTGAAGGTAACAGCAGGGTTTTCAAACTCAGATTTTCCTTCCAGTTACAAAAAAAGACTAGTAAAGGACTATAAAGAATATACATTTTGCATTAACAATTAAATTCAGGTGTACCTGGCAATCTCTTCTTTTAAGAGCCTGTATTCTATCTTTTTATCTTCTGGTAGAGCCTCTGGAGTTCTCATTGGATCATTTTCTTTTTCTGATTTTGGAGGGGCTTTGATTTTTGAGGCCTGTTACAACAAGGTTCAAGTCAATACTAGTTGCACCAGTTTAAAATACAACTATTAACTACTATTTTTAAGAGGCAAATCAGCACAAATTTAAAGCTGTTCTAAGCTACTAAGGTATTTCGAAACACTATTTTTTTGCTAGTAATTAAAGATGCATTGAATTTTAATTGAAAAAATGAAACTGAAGTATTACAAATTCTATCTTCAGGATGCCATCTTAACCAAAAGATCATTTTAATTAGCTTGTGCAATCCAAATTATAATGTAATGATCCAGACAGGAGTTCTGTATGCACTCTTGCACATTTCTGATGTAATCCAGTATTTCTTGACCAAAGTTTAAATGCTGTATACAAACCAAAATCATTACAAAATAAACCTATCAAATGCTGATAGTGTTTACCTCAACATTTCTCCTTGCCTCCTTTATCATAGATTCTAGTCCTCCAAACACACTGCTAGTTGAGTTAGACGGCTCTCCATCAGACTCACTATCATCAGAGTCATTTAATGTAACCACAACAGACTTGTGCTTTGGAAGCTGTGGGGTGAATGGAAGAAGTTTTATAGCAAGAAGAAAAAATTGGAGATAGATACAACTGAGCACAGATTTACTAGAAAAGAAAAGGTGGTTAGCTCCTTTTTTATCATAGCACACCAATTCCACATTATAAGAAAAAACCCAAGCATTTGTGTACCTCCGCTGCAAAACAGCAATATTGTACCCATTCTTGATACTGTAACATGAGAGATACTCCAACATTTTCAACCTATTCCCAAGTATCTGCAGCATATTTACATCTCCATGGTCATAGTATACCAATCTCCAACCTCTGACTCCTATAATTCATGAATTATTTCAACTAATGATAATTTTCATCTGCCACTTGCAAGGAATTTTTTTAAGCACCTAAGAGGTAACAATCAATCAAGTCTGCATTAGAAGTGCTGTGGCAGACATACCAGAACTCCTTTATCTTCCTGCCACACAGTTGTGATGCCTCTTGTCCCAGTTATACTTAGCTGACCTTACTGTGAGCTGCTTGGGTAGTTAAATTGGCAGAACACCAACAGTACATAAAGAACAAATGAAACAAGATTAATCACTTTTTGCCAACATCACTAACTGAAACAGCTCACAAAATCAGATGACTGCCAACTCCAGCACAAAGAAAGATGCAGAAACAAGCAGACAATTTAGATTAACCTCAAATGCTCTGGAGTTACAGTTTGAAAAGAAGCAACTTAGTTCAAATTTCCAGGACTGCTCTTCTCATCTCCCAGTGTAGGTCTGGACAACTACAGTTATACATTTAACCTTTACCTCAGGACAGGATCTCTTTCAAAGCTCTAAGAGTCTTTTAAAGCACATACCCCACATAAAAACCTACTTTTAATGTGAAAAATATCTCATTTCCACAATTGTTTATTTTTGATATTCTCTTTCTGGTCAGTTCTTAAAGTAAGGATGGCATCTACTACTTCTGAATGTATTACAGCCGCACCATTTTTGCACCACCATAGCACAGGTAGGTGAAATTCTAATTTACATTGGTGCAAAAAAACAGAACAAGGCACTGGTGCTCTCCTCACAAACGTTGTCTATCTGTACCTCCATGGAAACTTAACCAGGCAAGGCACCCTACCCTTCACCTAATCTTCAGATGCTCAATACACCCCTTCCTATCACAGGCTCTTGGTACTAAAACACCAAAACTGCCAAGCTGCTTTTGGCACAGTTGTGTAGGGTAAACTGTCTCCCAACTGCCTTCTCCATTTTTCTTCTAGGGGAAAAGCTGATAGTAGGGAGGGTTAAAGTCAGGTTTTCTCCAAGGTTTTTTTCCCCCAGCTGTTTCTTTGATGTAGTCCAGCAAAAGATTTAACAATCAGAAAAATAACAACACTAGGCAACTATCATCACACTGCTTTCTGTTAGATTAGCTTCTACTGCAGGGGAACCACAGCCTCAGTTGTAACACAAGATCTCTCCATGATTTTCTAAAACATATTTTCAACGTGTGGTGAGCAGAACCCTGAGTGTCCATGAACTACTTGGAAAAAGTTATCACTGAAAAAACAAACCAATATCTGTAAGCTGTTGCACTATGCAGAGGTCCTCAACTCCACAGAAGAAAGAAATCCAAAGGTTTGTACATTTAAAACCTACAGCATATTCAAACATTCAAAAGCTACCAAGCCCCCAAAACTATGAAATTTGATTTCAAAAGCCTGAACAATCTGCATTTTCTATACCTTTCTGATTTTTAAATTTCTGCAGATATCCATAATCCTCTCAGAAAATTTACCAGTTTTTAAGTTCAAAAATAAATTCTCATGAGTTTCCTTTTTTAGGCTCTAGTAAGAAACACCAAATACTGTGAAAGTTTAAAAAATAAGTTTTAAGTATTCAATACAAATTGTTTCTAAAAACTTCAAATAACTGGAGTAATTGATACTGTTTTCACATCGAATTGTTTTCACAAAGGACAGAAATGCCTTGTGACTAGCCTCCTGTGAACACTGTTTAGCCACAAGCTCTTTAAAACACTCATTTTTTTATATATATAAATATCCTTATCCCAACCTATTTAAAACAATTTTTAAAATGCAAAATGCTTTGCTTCTACAATAATTTTTGTAAACAAAAAAAAAAAAGAAAAAAGAAGAAAAAACACACTAGCCAAGCTAGCTGATTCAAATACAAGTGCATCTGTCAACTTTAACTAAGGTAACCATCATTAGCGACAGGCACTGAATTTCAGTTGCAGGTTTTTTAACATTTATATAATGATGCCTTTCAACAGCACAGCTGATAAGACAGTTATTACATCACTAAAACAAACCAACAGCTCCCCAGTAACGTGTTTGCCCTCATTTATGCAACAGTAGTCAATGAAGTCTCAAAACCATAGAGTATGTGGTAATTTAAGGGCTTTTTCAGAATAGGTTTCATTTTTAAACATAAGGACACTTGAAAATACAAGTAAATATGAAAATTACAGAAATGATATAAGCATGTCCGAACTGAACAACTACCCTAGTTATATCTCGAATTTAAAGTAGATTGTGAAGATGGGTACAGCCAAAAAAAAAAAAATCCACTTTAAACTAAGAGCACATTTTCCTACAGAAAGTAAAGCAGGTTTTCAAATGACTAAAAAAAGGAACATTCAGGTCTCTACCACCTTAAACTTTGTTTTACATTATGGCATCTGGTGACCAAGTGATCATACAGTCTGCATTTATGGCAAGGAAGCTGTTGGCCAGCTACAACTAGATTTGATAGTGTTAATAGTCTCAATGACACTATTAGTTCCTCCAAATTTAGTTTAAAAACAATAGTTCATTAGTATCACCATCCACTGACAGAAAGGCAAAGGTATGGACTCAATCATACCATTCATTAGAGAATCTGCATAGGGAAGAGCTACAGCCAACCAAGCTTTGTAAGATGTGTTGTTAAAATAATCACAAGCTATCCACTACGTATGGCTCACTGCCATAAATGGAACAGAAGATACACATGGGCTTTCAGTCTGGCACAACACAGGCAAATATGTTTTTATAACACATTTCCAACAATCTGAGAAGGTTGTAGACATCATAAATCAAATGCTAGCTGCACACACCTCCTGTGACCATTGAGCCAATGTAACAAAGCCTGCTGCCTAAAGAAAAGTCCCTCCTCTGTCTTCCACCCACACTCAAAGACATCATCTGCCACTACTTTTGTGCCAGCTCTGATGCTCACACACTGTTCACTGAAAAAATACAACTCCCCATAGAAGCACTTTTTTCCCCCCAAGGCTAATTTTCTAACTACTTTAGCACGTTAAATAAGCTAAGCAACAGGACTGATGCTCCAGATCACAGTCTAAAAGAAGGGAGACACCATTTGGCCAGGAACAGAAGAGCAAGACAACCTCTTTTGTGGCAACGAACAGTGATTAGATTGGTTCAGCTACCATTGAGCAGCACCTTTTAGTCTGTGCTAATCTAGAAAATAAATTAATTGAACATTATTTACAGTCTCTTTCAGTTCAGATGAGTGGAGTGTTTTGCTACTCTCAAGCTATAAATTCTTATTTCAGTGTCAGATTCTTTCTAGAAGAGCATATGGATTATCAAAGTTACTAGTAATTCAAATGTTTAACTGAAGCTCCACCATTCTGTGCTGCTATGCACTTGAACTGAGGATAACTTCAACTCACAGTGTTATTAATGTAAAACACCGATATTTCCTTACTGTGATCACTGCTCGTGGAGGCCTCGGTACTCTAATAAACTTTGTATTTTGTACCCGTGGCTGAGACACGGTATTAATACTGACAGCAGACAGGTTGCTTCTTGGCAGAGACTGCAAATTATCTGGAACAGGAGGGGAAGGTGGACCACTGTTACTTGAAGTTTCCTAACAAAATAAAACAAAAATATCATCATAAAAATGCACACTATACACAGCTATTTTAAAATACATAAGCATATAAGAGATTGTTCCATACATGTCTTGGAACTTCGAACTGTGATTTAGGCAGACTATCCAAATGGATTAAACAGATCTTGCAATTCTCCAAAAATATCAAAAAGGCACACAAGAATATGACAGTTATTCACAGGTCAACTGCAAAAGATCTCTGACCTTCTCATGAGGTCAAAAACAACCAAAGATTACAAACCCACAAACTTTGCTTCTCACTCAAAAAAAAAACAACAACAAAAAAAAAAAAAAAAAAAAAAAACCAAAAACACAAACAAACAAAAAAACCCCAAAATCGTAAGTTAACCTCTCCCAACTGCTTTTGCTAGAAAGTTGAAAAAGTCTTGCTTTCTAATTGACAGCTGATACAGAAACATTTTTTTTCAGAAAATAAGATATCCATTGCCCTGATCATATGAAACTCCAAGGTACTGATAACAGTTATTCCTTCAGAAATAAAAAACAAGCCCCAATTTACAATTCAAAGGGTGTGCCAGCATGCCTTTTGTTTTGGTTCCTTTTGGGAGGCAGAGGGCAATAGAAATTCAGAGTTAGTTGGGCAGTTTTTTTTTTTTTGTTTTTTTTTAAGTCTTCAGAAAGGCAGCATAAAAGCCTGTAATCCTCACTTAGTGGGTCACATTTAAGTTTTGGTCAAGATTGCCATCTAGAGGTTTACATTGAAAAACCAATGATTTACCTCAGATCTGAAAGCTCGTTTGTTGGCTAGAGACTTGAGCAATTCTTCTCTTAAGAGCATCTCCTCCTCCTCTTCCTCATCAGCAAATGGAGGTTTTGGTGGCTGTTCAGGCTCTTCAGGGGGAAGAGGTGGAAGAGGTGGAGGTGGCTCAAGAGAAATACAAGAAATACCCTCCGTGTAGAGTTGGCTCAAAGACGGTATAGGCTGAGATAAAAATGAAAACAAGGGTTTAAAACATGAAAATTGCTACTACTTTATGATTATTTACCAGAGGTTGAGACCTAAAATATTTCATGGTTTAAAACTAATCCAAACTCCAGAGGATTTCGAACGCTGTCAATGGCTGCTGCTAAACGGTTAGTAATTACTTGAAGATAGTGGAAACAACAAGGTTACATTTGGATAATGAAGTAGTGCAGGCATACAAACTAAATATAAATGAGAATTCAGAATCAGAGATAGTCTAGCCACAGAAATATGGCTGACCAGGTAAGTTCACACTGCTTGAAAAAAAGGGTCCTTAGCAGATTTATGTATTTATCTTAACTAACAAAATTACAATTTCCATCAGTCAAAAATTCAGAAGCTGTCCTGGCAGGGAATGGCAACTTGCTACTGCTTTACTAAGAAACTTAACAATCACTCAGTGAAGAAAAGCGGTGAGGAAAAAAACACCACACACTAATTCAATATCCCTGTGGACTCAGGTGGGAAGACAGACAGCATATCATCAAAATGCACAAAGTTTGAAAGGAGGACTGTGATGAGCTACATTTTTGGTTGTTTCCCTCCCTCTCCCCTAGATAACAAGTCAGAGAATAAGCATACATACATACATGGCCTAGAGATGAGGCAAAGTTGACTTGCACTAACAATTCCAATTCACTATTTTTCCTTGTGTGCCTCAGGTAATTTTTGCTTTCTGTCATAAGACATCATAGCTTTAACAATGAAGAAAAATGTTCTAGTTCAATAGAGAGAACTTCCTTTAAACAGGAATTTGATCAGCCAAAAAAAAGCTGAAATAAAGAGTTTAAGAAGTGACCACAAGTCTATCAGATAGCTCAAAGGAATCGCCAAATATAGAGTTGTATTAAAAAGAGAATCTTAATTTAATCCTAACTTTAGCATTAGAAATAAGATAAAAAATGAGAATTATTAACATTTTTGAAAACATACTCCTTTCGAGGTTACTTACTGGTATTGGAGGTGGCAAGGTCAAGGAAATCGGTGGTACAGGAGGTGGAAAATATCCTATCGGACACTCAAAGAAAGGAGGCTGCACTGGAGAAGAAGCTATAATTAAAAAAAAAAAATGCTGAGTGTAAAAAATCTGGCAGGTAATTACTAAACAGCAACTCATGCTTATACTTCATCTGATTTAATGCAGCAGAAGGAGACATGTTTTTGCTGTGCACAAATTTGAAAGGTAACGGCAGATACAGTACAGTGCACTTATTTCTTACATACATATATACAAACAGAGTAGTTACCTGTCCTTTTTTATATTTTACATATGAAATGCAAGTACAGTCAAACAGTACTACCAAAATAATGGTTTAGCCCTCATATTTGATTTAATTTGCAACAATCTACCTTCTTAAACTAGGTATCTCAACACAGTGTCTCCTGATCACTGGTTACCAAAAATACAATACAAATTAGGACAGAAGCAGGCCAAATGTACAGCTGATACTGATTTCTGTAACATAAAACTAGAGCTTGAGACGCTTCATGAAGAGAAGATTCATGTAGCTTGCATGTCCAAAACAGCAGGTGCAGTATTTTAAAACACTAACGTATAAAGAAGGCTGACAAAAAAGGATGGAAGATGAAAAGCAAGAGATTTTAAAAAGGCTAATAAAGTAGTATGCTTAATGAAGCTTTCTCAACACTCCACATGTTGAAAAGGAACAAGGAAACCTGAATACCTTAAACGCTCCTCAAACTCATTAAATTATTTGATCTGGAAGAGACCTCTGGAAAGCATATGCTCCAGCACAGGTGCTCAAAGCAGGGCTGCCCCCAAAGTCAGGTTGCTAAGGGCCTTGTCCAGTCAAGTTCCAAGTATATTTGAGGATGGAAAGTCCACAACACTTCCAGTTAACCTGTTTTGGTGTCTGACCATCCTCTGTGAAAGTTTTCCCTTATATCTAATTAGAATTTACTATGTTACAATTTAAGTGTTGCTCCTTGTCCTTCTGTTGCACACTCACCAGAAGAGTTTGGCTCCATCTTCTCTACAATTAACCATTAGGTAGCTCAAGACAGCAGCAAAAGCCTTTCTTACACTTCTCAACACAAACTCAGCTTTCCCAGTCTCTTTCCATAAATCAAGTGCTCTAGTCCCCAGTGAACTTTTGAAAAACAAGCTTTTTTTTTAAAAAAAACAAGCCTGGAATAGTTTTCCTCAGTCAAAAAAAGTCCTTTGCTAGACTTATTCTAGCACATCATTATCCTTCTACTCTGAAACCAGAAAACCGATCTAGTCTCATCAGTGTTTAACAGCACCCTCCAACCACCCACCCATTACAGACACAGGGCTACAACCCAGGCTGCAGTTTGCTTTTATCACCCAAAGCCACACTGCTGACTCACATTTCACTTAATGACCTTGGGGACTCCCAGGCCCTTTTTTGTAAAGCTGCTGTCTATCCAGTCACCACCCTGGGGCCCTTACTTTCTACACAGCTACTTGGGAATGTAAAAGAATGAACTCTAGAGCACTGCAATGAGGATAACCTTGAAGACCTTAAAAATACCACTACAGCAGAGGGAAAAAGGAAAAGGAGTCAGCAGTAAAACAGGACAGAATTAGCTCACCTTAAAATGTTTATTCTTTAACTGCCACACCTCAAAAGAAAGACTTTCCTGCTAAAAATCCTACTAAAATGGTAGCTCATTTCCTACTTTTTAACTATTTTTACCAATTACCATATAAGAAAACTATAAATAAGTCTTACCTGGAGAGTTAGTTTCACTATCTGTATCCATAGCGACTTCATCATAATTATCATACTGATATATGCCTCCTGCACTATCTGTAGTCTGCTTATCCAAAGACCATCGCAAGTCTGTATCTGAAGACTAAACACACGAAAAAGGTTATTTTATTTAGCTGGTCTTCTGTTACTCTTTTAGAGCAAACCAATTCAAAGTCCATTTTAGAAACAGGCCCTTATAATTTTGTCTAATTGCTTTATAAATACAATTTACTTAGCTTGTACAAAAAGAGCAAGCTGAAGATAACTTAACCAAATCCACTGCAGGTAGTGACTTCACAAATTAACAAGCAGTTTTAAAACTGCATCTCATTGGGAGGTGGTGTGGAGGAGGGTGTCATGATGCAATTTTTAAATACTTGTTTGGTTATTACATATCTGGTGAATTGTCATGGTTACATATTTCTGAAACACTTAAAGAGAATTAAATGCTTTATTATTTCTGTTAATCTGCCATGGCAATTACCAAGAGCACTTGAACTATCCCTGTTAGTAACAACACATAATTGCACAAGGATCATCTAAACTATAACAAACGCCGTGTGTTTAGGTAAAGCATGTTGATTGTTATAAGACTGATGTCTCAGGTGGAGAATCTTTTTACTGTCCCAGAAGGAGCCACATACCACACTGAACCACGTCCAAAGACTGTCAACTAATTAATCAGACTGTTTAAAGAACCTCTAAGACTCTATGGATGCTAATCAAACGTTCAGTGAACAATGAAAATATACAGAACAGGTAAGTATGACTTCTTAAAACTCTTCAATTTGTATCTTTGAGGCATACAGTAGACATTTTGGTAGCTTTTAGAATTCCTACTGTTTACAGTTAAACACTTTCAGCCTCACTTTTCCAATCGTTATTATAAACGCAACTCTTCTGTAACACGACCTCAAACAGGGAGTCCCAGTTCCCTTCGTTGCAGTTTCATTTCTCCTTATAGCATCAGTAGCTCCAAGCACTTGAAGCACCTAGCTGCAGCAACTGTACTGCTTCCATGATGAAAGAATTTATGCTGAAGAAACACTCATTTTTTCAGTAATGTACCAAAGTTTTAAAGACAAAATATTAGTGATTCAAGTGCCTTTTGCTAATCTCAAAATGAGAGAATGAAGACAGCCTAGCAGTGCAGCACGATGACCACAGCAGTAACTCTTCATTAATTTAACATAACTCTGTAATCCTGTAATGAGGCTGAAGTAGTTATCTTTTGTGTCTGAGCATATTTTGTACCTTGAGAAATTAAAAAATACTACAAAGAAACCAAACCTGAGATAACATTTTGAAAGATGCAGGCATTGAAGTTATATAGATACAAAAAATGTGAAAGTGTGGAGACAAAACTGCAACCTAAGAAGAAAGCCAAGAAAGTTTGGTTGATTGGTTTGTGTTAAATTAACACAATGGTCTTTGATCACAGTGTTCAAAATATCTTTAGGAGGAAAATGATTTACCACTGACTTGCAAATGTACAACTCATACAAAACCAATCTTACCAAACTCAAAGGGAATACCTGTCTAGCATGGGATTAGAACACTGTAAATCCTGAAATACTTAAAGATTTTCTTTTTTATTTTAAGGTGGGGCAGGGACAACAACCTAGAACCAGGAAGGACAAGACAGAAATCACTCATGAATCCCAAATGTGCCACCTGAACACCATATAACAAATTTGTTACCCTGCTTCTCGATCTCCTCTTTCCTCCAACTAGCTTCATAAATCGATTGTACTGCTCTTCTTGGTTTGAGAGATCCCTAATTTTTCTGATTTCTTCTTCTCTCTTTCTTCTCTCCTCTTCCTCTTCTTGTTTCCTCTGGTCTTCCTCTTTCTGACGCCTGTCTTGTTCCTTTTGCTGCTGCATCTTCTTTGATGTCTTTGTCTGTTGTTTCCTCAAAGCTTGCTTGGCTTTAAATAAAAAGATAGGTGATTAACTCCACCTTACCTAAACAGTTCCCTCTAATCCTAGATTCTTCAAGAGCTTTGAGCAGATGTATGGGGTTTTAAAAGGATTAAAGGCTCATTGCCCAATGTTTCACATAACGTACTGTTTTTTTTAATTTCAGAGGTCATGCCATTGATAGCCATTTCAGTAACATTAAACTTATTACCTGTAGCACTAGGTTTTTTCGTTGAATGTGCTTTTGTACTGGCTTTGACTTTCTGAGTTACACTTTTCGTTTTTGTTAATTTTTCCTTGCTTTCCTTCATCACCTGTTGTTCTTTTTGCTGCCATTTTTTACTAGCAGACTGAAGTGCAAGAAGCCTAAGTTGCAATTCAGACATCTCTTCCTCATCATCAAGCAGCTTCTTGAGAAGAAAAGAGAAGAAAGGATAAGACAAAAAGTCAAGAAATATCATTTATTAACTGAATCTTTTTTGAGTAAGTCGTTTGAGGTCTGTCCCAAAATTTATATTGAGAGAAAGATAAAATTCCTACTGTACTGGTAGTGTTATTCCTTAAGAACAGACTGTGTCTATTGCAGTCCAGAAATGTTTCAGTAATTTGGAAAAAGCCATCGAGTATCATACTGCAATTATGCCTCATCTACAGAATACTTTCTTACCTTTTCAGATGTAACATCTGAACTGCTAAACTTTCTCACTGATGTTTGTTCTTTGTCTTCTGTACCTTCCAAAAGAAAAATACCATATTTTTGAGTAAGCTGTTTCATGAGACAGACATACATTAAAATGATGTACAGAATTTAATCCATACAAATATATTTTATCAGTATCATTGGTACATAGTATAAAACAGAACAGCAGTTGTATGTGTAAGATCACATTACCATTAATATAAACTTGGCATGTCTGATGAAACCCACATCAGCATGATGCCATAAGCCTAAGGCATGATTGGTCATTTTTTAATAATTCTCTGTCTTAAGGATGACACATACTTCCCCAAGAAGCAGAGAAAAACAGATTTGGAGACAAGGGGGAAAGATGACTTCTGGCCACCTGCTTTATGCCACCCCCTCATATCAGCTGCTGTCCTGAGCATCTCAGATTCCACTTGCAGCTATTTTGAGTAACTGGTCAGTCTTGTGCAGAATAAAATAAAGGCCCAAAACTGCAGTAAGAACACATTACTCCATTTCATGCCAAAGAAAAATAGAAAAGAATTATCCTATGGAAATGAATAGTAAATGCAAATGCTTTCCTGCTAAACATTAAGATGTTAACATATTAATTTGTTACTGCCCAAAAGCCATATATCCATCTGATTATTATATAGTGTGTATACATATACATTAACTTTAAAATACAGATAAGGCTATATATTATTACACAATTTAATGATTATAGCTAATAACTATTAAGATAATTGATAACAAAATTATAATTATATAATTTGTATATAATCACACATACACATGTTTATTTGCATCAGAGGAAGGAAATACTTAGAGAGAAGCTTTGAGATCTTTTCCTGTATTAGCATGTCTTCAAAGAGAGATTCCTTCCCACAATTCAAATTGGTAGAAAATAAGTTTACACTCTGTACAGCTGTCCTGGGTTGAGTGAATGGTGGAGTTTTTTTGGTGGCAGGGGAGGGGGCTATCAGGGCAGCCCCCTGTGAGAAGCTTCTCGAAGCTCCCCCAGCTCCACGTCAGCTCCACTTCTGTTTGGAAAACTGAGCCAATCGGCTGCGCCTCTGCGATAACGTATTTAAGAAGGGACGTGGTGACGGGCAGTGGGACTGGTGAGGAGGAGTCGCTGCATCTGCATGAACACCAAGGTCAGTGGAGAAATGGAGGAAGAAAGGAGGGGGGAGGTGTGCCGGAGCAGAGACCCCCCTGTATCCTGTGGGGAGACGGCAGGGCGGCCCCCCCCTGCCACCCATGAAGATCTACGGTGGAGCAGACATTGATTTGTGGCCTGTTGCTCCTGCTCTGATGATCAAGGTGCTGTGCCCAAAGAAGGCCGGGGTCTTGCGGGAAAAGGCAGCCCCGCTGCTGTAATTCAGCGCTGGGAGGATTGCAGCATGCGGGGGGAGTCCCACGCTGGAGCAGCTCGGGAAGGGCTGCAGCCGTGGGAGGGAATCCAGTCAGGGGAAGTTAGTGACCCATGACGGAGCAGTGTGGGGAACGCTGTGGCCCATGGGAGGAACTCATCTCAGAGAAAGTTTGTGGAGGACTGTCTCCTGTGAGAGGGGGACCACGATGGAGCAGGAGGAACAAGTTCTGGACACTCCCCTCACCAAAGATGAAGGAAGTGGCAGCGCTGACTGCACCCCCCATTCCCTGCACCTGCACCACTGGGGGAGGAGGTAGAGATATCGGGAGCAGAGCTGAGCCCGGGAAGAAGGGAGGGGTGGGGGGAAGGTGTTCTCAAGATGTGGCAATGCTTCTCACTGTCCTACTCTGTTATGTGTTGTTGGTGTCTGTAATAAATGTATGTTCTTTTTTTCTTCCCCAACGAGTCTGCCTTTTGCTCATGATCATAAAAGGGGAATTTTTCCCTATCCCAGTCCTATCTCGAACCCCAAGCCTGGCTCTCTGTCCCTTCTCATTGCCGGAGGGGAAGGGAGAGAGAGCTGCTGCATTGTGGTTGGCTGTCAACCAGGCCTAAACCACGACAACAGCTTGTACTCTTCCTAGCATTTTATGAAAAGTCACATTCAGAAAGGTGCTGTTTAAAATATTCTAAGACCTTATACCTAACAAAAATGGTATGTAGCAAATGCTGAAGGTCTTCCTGCTTACATCTGCATGCATTTTTTAAAAGCACGCATAAAAGGAAGAAAAATAGTATCTAATACCCGTGTGTATTAAAAAAGATTATTCAAAAAAGTTATTAGACTAAGCAAAGATCCTAACCATTCAGTCCAGAGGATGGAAGCAGGGAGACACAGATGGCACTGCAGTTGCTGTGATGCAGACAGACATAAACAGGGACATACTACACAAACTAAAACACTCTTTCAAACCAGAAGGGGACAACACAGGCAGAACAGACTAACAGACAACAAGGAAAAGAAAGCAAGAAATACTATAAAGCCTCTGTCAGAGCAGTTGAACCACAGAGAATTAATTCTAGCAAGAGACACAAACTTCCCTGAGTTTTAAGACAAGTTCTTCAACTTGAACAAGTCCGAAGAAACACCTAATATACCATTTGAAAATAAATATAATGGGAAGACCAAATTTTGCTAATTTCCCAATATATGCATAATCAAGTAGTATCCATTTCACCTGATAGACATGAATCTGCAGTAACTCACATCAGCTGGATGGTTCTACTGTGGAAGCCTATACTATACTGGCTTGAAGCCACTCTCACACATAACCTATCTGCTTTCAGATCATTCTTATACAGTTGAGTGGTGTGCAAAAATTAAGATGCTCCGAATAAGCATACTATAGCATCTATTTTCATTATCATATGAACTGTATTTTCAACTTCAGTGCTTGTAAGTTTTGAGGTTGGATTTTTTTTTTTAAGACTGTTTTGATTTTTAAATTGCTCTTGTACACCTGCCTTGCTATGGTCAAGATCTGTTGGTTTTCCTCATGTCTCCCATTAAAAACTACATTACCTCTTACATAATACTAGAACCTAATTTTTTTCAGTTATTTTTGTTATTAATGGGAAAGATATAAGGGGAAAAATACCTAGAATGAGGTGGTTTGATTATTATCAGTTCTCTCAGTTTCTTTACAGGCTTTGTCTTCTAAATTCTCATTCTCCAGTTATATCACTGCCTTTCAGTGCTCTAGCCCTACCTTTCTTCATATTCCTACTAATTACTCACCTGTATTTTTAATCCATCCATTTACTACTTTGTCTCTTCCCACTCAAATTGATAGTTTATACACATGGACAAATTAGCTAATGTAAGACGACAAGTAATATCCACAAGCACACCCTCAATAACAGCAAACACTTACTACAACCAGATGAAGCCTCACAACACAAAGTTTAAGCTAGCTGCCTTATTTCACTGCAGACTTAGAAGTAAGCTCAAGGACTTTTACAAGTCGGCTGGAGTCCATACCTTGTTTCTCACTACCTGGTTTACGTATTGGAGCAATTTTGCTCTTTGACCTGCCATCCAGAACTACCTGGACAAGATACGTACTCTACCCTTCCACTACATTTCTTCTACAAAACCTTTGTATTTCCTTTCTGATTTCTTCACTACTTGTGAATACCAATAATGACCAAAATAATTCTGCTGAAAATAACTAATAAGAGCTTGCTACACCAAATAAAAACACGTAACAAAGATGAAATGCAGAAAAAGATGTCTCTAAATGTTATCTTTTCAGATAAAAAAAACAAACACACATTTGACTTCTGCAAAAAAGAACAAGGGAAAGAGATGGAAAACTTTCAGTGAAAGCCAATGATTTCCACTGCAAACAGCAATTAAAACCTTCAAGTCTTATCCTCATGTTTTCTGTCAAACTATCAGTTAATCTAAGACATCAGAAAAACAAGCAAAAAACAAACAATAACCATGCTTCGAAGCATGTTTATGTAATTCAATGAATTACATAAAACAGAAGTATATTAATAACTTAAAATGTTTAACGCGTTAAGTAAAATTTTCTCCAACACATCATAAATATGATTGATAATGGCAAGTAAAAAAAGCTTACAAATGAAAACAACTTTACAAGTACTTACCTTGGCCAGAATCTGTGACTTCAGATTTTTGTGAGGACTGTTTTGTTCCTTCTTTGCCTTTTTTTAATCTGCTCCTCTCAGCTGGAGTAGGCAGTTTTTGTCTGAGTGGTTTCAGTTCAAAAGCCTGAAAGGCTATAACCGGATTTTTCTCCTCAGGAGATACTTCTTTTATAGCATCTGTTGTAATACTGTCATTTTCTACAGTTATTTGGTCCTCTGTGTCCACTGTTTTATCATCATCTTGTTGTTCACTTTCTTCCCTGTTGCTCAAAGCCAGTCTTTCATCTTTATTAATATATTCAAGCTCTAATTGTATCTGCTTATACTTCAAGAGCAGATCCTCAAAACTTTCTTCCACAGAGTTTTCACTTTTAGAAGAGTAGTTCTGCTTTCTAGATGGGGACCTTCCAAAAGTTTTGGCTGAATTACTGGTCAAGAAAACTAAGACAAGAACATGTATAACCTTAACACAGTGGTGATACTATCACTGAAGACTAAATTATGACAAACAGAACTTAAGATCATTCTCATAATTTACTTAAATTTTACCTTAACGCTAATTTGAAAAATGCCCCTTATAAATATGAGCAGTATGCAAAAGATATATCCATTATTATATATTGGCAGCTTAAATAAACATCTTCTCAAAGCAACAATTTAAAACATCCTACTTATGACAAGAATTTTATTAATTGCTGACAAGTCTTGTCTCTTGCTCTCACCATACTCCCAGAAACAACAGCTGTAACACTGAGAAGGTTCCCTATCACCGACTTACAGAGTTCGTAACTCAAGTATAGACTCCCCATTTGACCTTCTGGAAAAGACAGATTAAATCCATTCTCACTCATTTTATCACTCCGTAAAATGCTACCCCTAGCCACAGCACAATTACACACTGCAGTAACTACAGCTCAACAAATCAAGTAAGGCACAGAATAATCAAGAACTGAAAGGAATGAAATAAAAAGTGGCTAAAGACTTGCAATCAAAACATTCAAAAAATGCTTAAAGAAGATTGGGAATTGCTAATTACTTAGAAAAGGTTGTCAATGCATGCCCAGGGGATAGATTTTCTTGAGAACGTATTGTCCAAGCCAGGCAATGGCAATATTCTTAGGCAACTGTATCCAGAATAAAAGTTGTCACTATTAGAGGTTCACTTCCTCTTACCTTAACCTGACACTTGAAAAGATAAACTACCCTGGAGAATAATCATGCTCGAGGGGAAATCTTTTTAGGATACCAAGTAAGGTTTGACTCACTGGACTGTCAGTGTCAACCCCGCTGTGGTAACAGCTGACTCACACCCAGTTATGCGAAATGCTTTTTATCAACGTCATCTCTTAAAACAATAAACAGAGTAACATTAAAAGCTAAAATAGGTGTCCTCTGAATGCAGACATATTGAATTCAGAGGAACATAGCCTTGTATTTGTCTTCTGCTCACAAGATGCCTCAACAACTTGGATGTTTCACTATGTTAACTTCTAACATAAGTATGAAGAGTCTTGGTATACTACAAAAGCAACTTCTGCAGTATGAGGAAGTGTTTTGCTATGCAATGCTTTCTTAAACATCAGCATAAAAAGCAGAAACTTGTAAAGATAAACTACAGAGAATCCAGAAGGCAATCAAACAATCTATAAATATTCTGCAAATACTAAGACCTGTGTGTAGTATAACACCAAATTAAGTAAGAAACATATTTGCCAAATTCACTTCCAACACATTTCTACTTCCAAAAAAACAACTACATTATTGATTCTGTGAGTCACAGGAAAGTCTGAAGCTAATTAAGTGATACAATAAGACATAAAAATAAGCCTAACTATTATTTGATATTGAAATACTTCAATAGCTTCTAGAGTCAGCCAGAGTTGGGATTTAATTTTTTTTTTTTTTGTGCTCAGGAAAATAAAACTGCTAGAACTCCCACAACCATATTAATCAGAAATTCCGTGTTCCACATATGTAGAAAATTTTTTTATATGTGGTTCTACACACAGAATGCAAGACTATATGGAGTGATATGAAAGGCAGACAGGTACATACACATTAAAACAAGGATTATTATTCAGTCAACTCAAGAGAAACTTCTACAGCCAAAATCCTACAATCAAGAGTTCAACTTTAGAAACTGGGGGGTTAGAAGAAAAAAGTGCACAATGTGAAGAGTTCAGAATTTATCAGAAACATTTTGGTCCCATATTTCAGACTCAAAATTCCACAATTCTCTATGCAAGACTTTCTGCAGAATTGCTATCCAACAGCTCCACGTTAAAGTTGCTGAGAATTAAAAGAGAAAAGCCTATTAAAAGCTAATGCCCAAAGAAAAGTAACAAGAATTTTTCAAGTGTTCCAGCACATCATTTACTCCTTTTGTATATACACTCCTACAAAGCACTGTACAAACTACTAGTTGTAAGGGTAAAGAGAAAAAAAAATTAAAAAAAGCCATCTCTCTTAGCAAACACTTAAGCATCTTGCTTTCCTGGGGGAATTCCAAACACCACTCTCCAGGCCACAAGCCTCCTTGTACCAGCTGATGTGAAGGTCTCTTCTGAAGTCACATGCCCATGAACTATGCCCCTACTTCATTAATATTTGCAACATGGGGGTACCTTAATATTTAGGAATACTGTAATACTGACTCCTTTAGGTGGCAAGGATATGAAAAATACAAAGAACTTACATTGCAAGAAAATCATGAGCCTCCCTTAACTATATTATCTATAAACAAATCAATGCCACTTATTAAAGAACAATAGTATTAGAAACTTCTCTATCATGTTTAAACAGAAAAGTGCATCTTAGATACTGAAGGGGGGAGAAAGACTCATTTTCTGCTTTCGGTTTGAAAATGGAATGATTAGTTTCTGAATGCTTCTTTAATTAAAAGGGAGAAGACTCTATATCAGTATTAACAAGCACTGCAAGGTCTGTTTAGTATGATGAATATGTTTGCCCTGCAAATTTTTCATTACACAGAAAGTAACCATTTTCTGGTATGCAGACCAACACTGCAAATTAAGATACTTAAAATCTATTTTCAGCACTAGAACCATCTTACTCTGCAACCTTGGGCAAATCACTGCTTCACTCACTGTCTCTCAAGACAAGATCCTTAAATTAGAAGTTCTTATGAAGGCTTCAATAATGCTGTAACTTTACCAGATGAGAAAATAAAAGCATCTCTTCATCACTAGTTTACATATTCCACCCACATTTAAAAAAAAATAAAATAATTACATGGATGAGTAATCTTTTATCTAAAATAACACAAGGATCCAATGAGTAGCTTTCAAAACCTTAAGTGCTGGCACAAATAGGAAAAATTCCTGTTCCTAGGATCAGCCAGCACAGTTAAGCAAACAACACACATCCTTTGACTATTGGTACAGAAGACAATAAAACACTGTAAGATCCTGGAGAATATATTTTAACCGCTAGTTCTCTCGCTCAGTGTTTTTTACATTTGTCTACATTTTCAGTGAGGCGACAATGCAGTTACATGAAGTTTCAGTACCAGACTGCCCTTAAATTACATATGGAATCAGTTCTTTACGCTTTTTCCTACAACAAACCTGGAAAATGAGAGCTTTTTTTTTTTTTCCCATCACTTCACAGTTCCTGTTCCTAAAAGGAGAAAATAGTAGAGCTCTATTAAATGTCACTTAACCAACTCTACGACCAATCAGTGCAGAACATCCTACAAGGAACGCTGTGTATGCCTTTATACAGAAACAGAGCTTTCCTACATTACCAAAACTCCCATATAAACCACATTCTGTGCATACAGCCCCAGTTCAACTTAGCTTTAAAGTTAGCTTTAGCTATGTGTAACTGCCTCTGAAGGGCTGGAAGCTAAAATGAAAAAACAGCGGATCCTTCATTGCCCAACAAGGAAAATTAACAAGCTTTGGGTTTTGGCTTTACAACTGTGACACTAATTATATACATTAAAACTGCCGCACCAAAGACTGACCCCACTTCACAATACTCGCACTTCGGGCTAGAAAGGCTGCCAGCTGGGATACAATCGACTTAAGGCTTTTGTTTCAGGCTACACTTTCTCCCTACACGGGAATAAGCGGCCAGGTTGCAAGCCAGGTCACGGCAGTAATCCAGCTTCGCAGCAGCCTCTCCTTGAGAAGCGGTGCCCGCTGCCCCTGCCAGCCCCCGGGGCTGGGAAGGGGGCCTGCCTCTCTGTTACCCCGGCGGGAGTCCCAGCGCCAAAGCGGGAAGGAAAATAGCCCCTTCCTGAGGCTTTCGGCCACGTAACGTGGCACACACACAGCCAAGCCCACCCCAGCAGCATGGCCTTCCCGCCTCCGCTCCCTCTCACGTCTCAAGGATACATTTTCGAGGCGAGGGTTCCCTCCAGCCCTGGCTGCTACTGAATCCGGCCCCGCCTCCCCCTCCAGGCGGTCTCCCCGGAGGGTTGCCCCCCCGATCACCGTCGCCTCGACTCCTACCCCAGCGCCCCCCGCCCCTGTAGGGCCGGCCTCGGAAGCGGAATCGGTCCAGGGCATTGTGGCTGCGCTCCCAAAAGGAGAGCCGGGGGCCCGTCTCGGAATGCGAGCCCGCCGACATCCGCGGCGCCGGCATGGGTGGCGGATGGGAGCGGAACGAGTCCTTGGGCCGGTACCCGCCATGGCCGTGCGGGTGCCCCATCTCCGGCGGGGGCTGGTGCCGCGAGCGGGAGAAGGGCCGGCCAGAGGAGGAGGAGAGGGAGATGCCCCCGCGGAGGCCGGGAGGCGGCCTGCGCCTCGAGTAAGGCCTGCTGCTGACGAGGCCGCCGCCGGGCTCGGAACCGCCGCCGCCGCAGGGCCCGAAGCCGTTGTTATCATCATCGCTGATTTCGCCGTCTTCCAACTCCCCTTCTTCCTTCGGCGAGAGCCCGCTAGGATCCAGCGCCGCCGCCTCCGCGGGCGCGGCCGCCGCCATGGAGCCCAGACCAACGGTCTCTGCAGGCAGCGCGCGGCCCGCCCTAGCCGCTCGGGCGGCTTCGCTTCCTGCGCAGGGCGGCCCCGCCCCGCACTCTCGCGAGACCCCGCCCCGTCCAGCTAGCCCGGGGGAGCCGGCGCGGCGCGGGGTATCTTGGGGAATGTAGTTCCCAGCTCGGGGCGGGGCCGTGGGAGGCAATGGGAGGGTGGGGAAAGCCGCCGGCTCAGCCTATTAGCGGGGAGGGGGGCGGGCACCAATGGGAGCTCGGCCCGCCATGTTGGTAAAGGAGGCGGGTGGGAAGGCGGACATCTTGTCGAAGGGAAGCGAGTTGCCGGGCGGAGGAGAGCGGTGAGGGGGTGGCAGTTGGCTGCGCGGCGGTGGGCAACGCTGCGCTGCTGTTCACCGCGGGGGTGTTGATGGCAACTTCCCTTAGCACCCTCCCGGGCTGCCCCAACAACGGCGCCTCTGGGGCGTGGATCCTCCTGGGTGCTCATTTCTCTGAGCCGCAGACCCGTCGTTCTTCGTTGGTGGGGCCAGCGTCCTGCTGCCCCCTTTTAGGCTTCTAAAGAAGGAAAAGTAGTGGGTGTTTTGGCAGTGCCCAGCACCCTAATAGACATTATTAATCTGTCCGCTCCAAGTTTCTGGGAAGCTCTCCCGACCTTCAGTTGCTTTGAAATTCAGATTGGCCCTAATGGCTTCTGTGATGGGAGTGGCATGCGAGCACTGGAGAGGGTAAAGCAATTACATATATTCCTTGAATCATTAGTTTTCATTTCACTTCTCAAAATTTTCTTATTCTGGTGCTACCTCGTCTGTTCAGACAACTCAGTGTCCTACAGGGGTATTGTCAGGTGATGTCTTGCTTGGTCAGAAGGAGAAACCTTTAAAGCCTTTCAGCCTTTCTAAGTCAAATCGGTGTCTCCTGGAAAACTCACAAAACTTCTAGCAGTGTCACTGAGTTTCTTAGCAATGATCATGCATGCTAAATGCTTTTACAGACTTGCCATGGTTCTCAAACTCGACAGCTGCCTTTTTGTGCTTTTCCTGAGGGTGAATTATGAATGGGTTTTTTTTTCAATGAATAATGTACTATGAAAGGAAAGGTGCCAAAAATAAAATTCAGTATCATGTTACTATTTATTTGTCTTTTTGGTCTTTCTCTCTAGATTTTTTTTTAGATCGAATAAAAATAGGAAGAGTAGATAATGCATATCCTTTGTAAAGTCCAAAATATTGTGCCAAACAAAACACTTTTCATCCTTTTGTTTTGACCTAACTGGACAAACTAAATAACTTGGTAAGAGATGACTCTGGATTCCCTGAAACAGGACTGAGAGAAGCAGCCTGAGGGAAGTGTAGACAATGACAAGAGAAAGGAGGTAATGGGAAGGTAAAGATAAGGCATGAGAGGGCAGGAGGCCCTCCAAGCTGAGGAATGTCTCAAACACTTGAAAGTAATGAAACTATAGTTGTATCATGAATAATGTAGAGTCTGCAGCTGATAAGGTTGTCTGCATAGCACAGGCTGTGTCTGGCGGAGGGAGCCCTGTGGAGACAGGATGGTTCTGCTCTAGTGCATCTTGTAAACTTTCAAGGGCCATCTGTTCAGTGAATGACCTTTGTTTCATTATCAGCAAAATAGATAATATAGTTGACACCCCTGCGTATGCTAATGAAGGTTAACAAGATCGTGGTAATTACAACACCCCATGAAGTGTCTTACTCCTCCCCATACCTATGATACATCAATATGTAGGTTGACCTTGGGCAGGCACCCAAGGAAAGTGTGTATAAATTGGAGAGGGAAAAGGATAACAGAAGTGAAGTGAAGATGACAGATAGATCCTTGAAGCTTCGCTGGCAGGACCAATGCAGGAACCCAGACCAGTGATCTCTATCCCTATACCCACCTCTATCCCTATCTCTGTCTCTTCTCTCTTTTCCCCTTGTTATCATAAGTAACGCAAGGCGTATCATACCGATTGCCATAACTGGTTATATACTTAGTCAGTTACTGTATATCCAATTAATACATTGTGGGAAATTAATAGATGTTTTATGCATGGACTTTGAGACTTGTCTAACTGTTGTCTACTCCACTGGGAATTTACAAATCTAAGTCACTTTTCTCCCTCTTCTGAGCGGGACATGACAGACTTAGAATAGATACTGTTCCAATGACTTGACTTCATACAAAACTCAGGGTGGAGTAATTGAATGTGTATATTATGTGCTAAATTTCTCTGATTTCTTCTAACAGTGTGGACCCTATTAAGATATTTATAAGGAAGAATGAAGCAAGTTGAAAGGTTCCTTTTTTTGTTTTACAAGTATCCATCATACTACAGTAGTGTGTTGTTTGTGTCAGTTCTTTTATTCAAATAGATATTATCCCTAGAAATCATGTTTTATTGGTGGCTTATACAGTGCTAAAAACAGCCACAATTATGACACAGGACCTACTGAAAACTATCTGAAGTAGCAGCTGAGATCAGGCAGGTTTCTTAAGCAGTGCCAGGTGCCTGTGTCTGTGTCTGAAATCTGATCTGCTGTAGTTACAAAGAAGTTTCAGTATCACTACATCTAAGCTGCAGAAATTTCCCTCCCAGCAGACGTTTGCTTACTTAGGCATCCCAGAGCTTTGCATATATTTGGTTCCAGTTTCCTTTCTACAGTTGCCTTTATTTCTAAGCATTTTCACCAGTAGGAAATTAATATCAGCATCTTTTACAGTGGGAAGGAAAATATTTACGGAACTGTAAGGTATTGGCAAAAAAGCAGCAGCTCTATGGGAAATCAACCTGATACAAGTATTCCCACTCTATTGACTGTTAATGTATGTTTTCTTACAGTTCATCGAAAAAGTGTGCTGTATTTATTCAACAGGGCTATATGATCTGTATTATAAATTTCTAGCTGAGATACTTAACCATCTGAAAAAGAAGGTCCTGAGAATCTTCCAGTGGTTTTGCGTGTCCTGTGGTATCATATGTCCCTTCTTTTATTTCAGTCATCTGATACTGCATGCTTTTTTCTCTCATCTAGGGTTATCAGGCAAATAATTTTATGTCTAAATTTTCAGGAAGAAGTGGATTCATCAACTGTATTGATCACTGTTAATAATCAGGGAAACTGATGTTGTTGAAATCTTTTCTGTAAAGTGAATAAAATGCCATGTGTAAAAAAAAATGTGTTGATCTGATGGTTTTGGTATCTACACAATTGAACAGGAGGCCATAAACGTTTGAAAACTGTGAGGGAGCTACCATTCAAAGAGAAAGCATTAAGAAACTTCCCTGCACATGTCATGAGTAATAGATGAAGAATTTTTTGTGAGGTTTCATTGCAATCTGTAAATTTAAGACTAATCGGTAAAGAAATTTTATCTTAGCTGCATTCGGCTTCATGCATTTGAAACATGATATCGCTGCTGGGGAATGAATTTTTGTGTTAAATACTGAATATGTTTTCAGTAAAGTACAAATGGAATAATTAAAATATAGGAAAGTATATGTCGTAATACTGGAGCACAGAATTAGATTTATTCTTTATCCCATTCCCTGAATATTACCTGCATCTCTAGACATGGACAAGAAAGCTCTGGAGAAATAGCATGTTTGTGAAGATGTACGTGAATTACTGAAATTTGTGTACATAAGCAGCTAAGACTCCTGGAATTAAAAGATATCTTTCAGATCCCTCCTCTCCCCTTTTCTCAATAAGAGATCCCATTGCTTACTATCATTTTCCAAGTTTAAGTTGTTTCTACTGCATGTAAAACATTTTCACCAGCTGTTTGGTGTCTTAACCGGAGGGGATCACAGAACCTTTGCACAACCTGGGCTCCCAGTCTGGGTGGTAACAATACGTCTCAAGCTCTTTATCTAGAGCTGAAAAAGAATACTGCAGTTAGTGGTCTCAATGTTGTTACTGCTTTAGGGGACCTCATTTCTTGTCCACAAAACATAAAAAAAATCAAGTTTTCTGAGGCAGAAAATTAGTGATATGTTTGCCACATAAGTTAAATGAGCCCTGGCTTTTTTTGTGCAGCTGCCTGTCCTGGTGTGGGCTCCTCCACAGGCCACAGGCCGGCCTCTGCTCCACCGCAGACCTCCGTGGGTGGCAGGGAGGGGCAGCCCTGCCATCCCACCATGGGATACAGGGGGGCTCTGCACTGGCACACCTCGCCCCTTCCTCCTCCTGTCTTCCACTGACCTCAGTGTTCACACAGATGTCTTCCTCTTCCTCACAAGTCCCGACCCTCTCCCAGCTTCCCCTTCTTAAATACATTACTGCAGAGGCGCAGCCACTGTCACTAATTGGCTCGGCCCTGGCCAGAGCCGGGTCTGACTTGGAGCTGGGGGAGCTTCAAGAAGCTTCTCACAGGGGCCACTGCTGTAGCCCCTTCATCTGCTACCAAAAACCCTGCCACAGAAACCCAGCACATGAGGATTATGTATTTTTTTTTTTCTAATCAAGAAAACATGAAGTGGTTAAAAATTGAATTTGGGGAAATGATAATGACAAAGTATGTGACAAATACTTCTTCATAGGTTCGGGGGGGGTCAATTTTATGATGAAGGCGTTCTACAGAAACAGTTGAACACTGTATAGATTGAATTTGAAGTTCAGAGAATTATGTTCAATTAATCCATAATTTGACAGTATGCAAGTTGCACAATTTCACATCACTTTGTTGTTTTGTTTCCTAACTAATTTCCTCTGTTTTTCTTGTCTTTATCAGAAACCTGTGTGAAATCTTCCTAAGAAGAAGGAGGTTTATCTCCAAGAAGGATCATCCAACTTCAAAATAAACATTCAGTGTAAACAAAATCTTACTGAACACAGTTAATGCCTTCAAAAGAAAGTGAAAAGAAGTACAAATTAAGGGAGACTAAGATTGTTTAAAAGAATGAAGAATCACATTCAAACAGAAGACAGAGCTGAACAATGATAAATTGTACTACTTGCCTCATAAGAAGCTCAGAATCAAATATTTCACCAAAAGATATATCTAAGCAAATTGTACCAAATACCTTCCCTTGGGTAAGTTAAAAATACAAGATATCAAAATTAG